CTGCTTCTTGACACCCACTCCTCCCAATCTCGTCCTGCTGCAGGTGGAGATGAGCTGGAAAAGCTTCAACAGAGGCGACGTGTTCCTGTTGGACCTTGGGCAGCTCATCATCCAGTGGAATGGCCCTGAGAGCAACCGAAATGAGAGGCTGAGGGTATGGCCAGGGGGTCCCAGGGTCCCCTCCTGGAGGAATGGGGGTGACCAGCCACTCCCTCCCTGATCTGGGCTTATCCCTTCTCCCCTGGGTGCAGGCAATGACCCTGGCCAAGGACATCCGGGACCGGGAACGTGGAGGCCGTGCCCAGGTGGGCATCGTGGATGGTGAGAACGAGAGTGCCTCGCCAGAGCTCATGAAGGTCCTCACGCACGTGCTGGGTGAGAAGAGGGATATTCAGCCAGCCATCCCTGATGATAAAGTGGACCAGATCCTCAAGTCCTCTCTCAAGCTCTACCAGTGAGTTGCTGGGCATGGGTTACCCACAGGGGCATTTCGTGGGATGCCAGAGGGACCCAGCACCCATCTCTGCTATATCTCACAACTCCCATCCACGTGGACAGCCACCAAGAGGGGTCAAGGTCACAGCAGGCGGGGGGATAGGTCCTTTGGGTGCATTTTGAGCAAGAGGAGTGCCTGGTGCTGACAGGCTTGGTATTCCCTGGAGAGATGCTCATGTGAGTGTCACCTTTGTATACGGCAGTAATGTTTCTGGGTGGCACCATCACACCTGACAGCCCTTTATCCCTCCCTGTGGCCGAGGGAGCTGCACGGCAGGGCAAGCTACAAACCAGATTGCCGCTATGGCAGGGCAAGAGCGTCCCTGGGCACCACCTGTGCCACAGTCTGGGTGGTGAACGGGATGCGGAGGGGATACCCCCACCAAACCCTGCCACCCAAAATGGGGATGGGTTTTTCCAACCTGGTTTCTAACACCTCCATCCTCTCTTTTTCTTCTGTCAGCGTCTCCAACCAGAGTGGGAACCTGGTCATTCAGGAGGTAGCATTTCGACCCCTAACTCAAGACATGCTCCTACATGAGGTGTGTTAACCCATGGGATGCTTGGGAGTGCCCAAATTCCCTGGCAGCTTCAACCCTTCAAAATTGCCAAGCCAATCAGCTTTTTAAGGTTAAAGTTGCCAAAGTCCCAATTTCTGCTATTTTCCCCTCTCCAAGGACTGCTACATCCTTGATCAAGGAGGTCTCAAGATCTTTGTGTGGAAGGGCAAGAATGCCAACAAGGAGGAAAAGCAGGAGGCAATGAGCAGGGCACTGGTGGGTGTTGGGTTATGGGTTGGCTATGGGATAGCGGGGCTCCTTCGTGGAGTGCCAGGCCCCCCATGACCACACTCCGTGTTCGGATCACCCCAGGGCTTCATCAAAGCCAAGAACTACCCAGCCAGCACCAGCGTGGAGGTAGAGAATGACGGGTCTGAGTCAACCATCTTTAGGCAGCTCTTCCAAAAATGGACTGTTCCTAACCAGAGCAGTGGGTTGGGCAAGACCCACACTGTGGGCAAAGTGGGTGAGTGTCTCCTTCTGACACAGCAGAACTCCTTGCTTTGGGATGTAGGGGCTGTGGGGCCCCCAAAGCCAGTGGAATTTAGCTCACCCCTCTGCCCTTCCCTGCAGCCAAGGTGGAGCAGGTGAAGTTTGATGCCACCACACTGCACGCCAAGCCCCAGATGGCCGCCCAGCAGAAGATGGTGGATGATGGATCTGGGGAGGTGGAGGTAGGGTAGCCTTGGGTACCCCCTGTTCTACACCAGGGGACGCCGTGGGGTTCAGGGTCTGCAGGGCAGGGGGATGCACCAGCCCTGACAGCAGTATATCCCTGTCCCACCAGGTCTGGCGTGTGGAGAACAACGAGCTGGTGCCCGTAGAGAAGAAGTGGCTGGGCCATTTCTATGGCGGGGACTGCTACGTGGTGCTCTACACCTATTCTGTGGGGCCCAAGGTGAACCGCATCATCTACCTCTGGCAGGTGAGACCTCCAGGTCCCTGACCCGTGGGTGGGGGCCAGGGCTATTCTGCCCCTACACATTACATGTGCCATGGGAACAGCACAAGGGTTCCCTCTTCCCAAGAGAGAAGAGGGGCCTGTGATGTGTGCTGAGTACCCCTCTGCCCTGCCCAGGGCCGCCAAGCCACCACGGATGAGCTGGCTGCCTCTGCCTACCTGACCGTCGCCCTGGACCAGAAGTACAACAATGAGCCCGTGCAGATCCGTGTCACCATGGGCAAGGAGCCGGCCCACCTGATGGCCATCTTCAAGGGCAGGATGGTGGTGTACGCGGTGAGCACGGGGCTGTGGGAGCGTGGGCAGGCAGGTGAGCCTGTGGCACTGGTAGTGACCTCCTGTCCCCCAGGGTGGCACCTCACGGTCGGGCAGCACTGAGCCTACACCCTCCACCCGCCTCTTCCACGTGCATGGCACCAATGAGTACAACACCAAGGCCTTTGAGGTGCCCGTCCGAGCCTCCTCCCTCAACTCCAATGACGTCTTTGTGCTCAAAACCCCCAGCACCTGCTACCTCTGGTATGGGAAGGTGGGTATTGCTGGGCACCCCCGAGAGAAATATTCCCTCCTCCTCTTCTTCCTCCTTGGCTGGGGCCAGTGGTGGAGCAGCTGCACTTGCTTGGCAGGGCTGCAGTGGGGATGAACGTGAGATGGGCAAGACTGTGGCCGATATAATCTCCAAGACAGAGAAGCCAGTGATTGCAGAGGGACAGGAGCCACCTGAGTTCTGGCTGGCCCTAGGGGGCAAGTCCCAGTATGCCAGCAGCAAGAGGTACCAGTCTTGTCCCTACCCACCCTGAGGAGTAAGATGGGCCACCAGGCCCCAAGCATGATAAGCCTCATTCCTACCACCGTGCTGCCTCCTGTCAGGCTGCAGGAGGAGAACCCCTCTGTGCCCCCCCGACTCTTTGAGTGCTCCAACAAGACAGGCACCTTCTTGGCCACGGAGATCATAGACTTCACCCAGGATGACCTGGAGGAGAGTGATGTTTACCTGCTGGATGCCTGGGACCAGGTGAGCTGGGGGGCCATGGAGTGGCAGACACACCACTGATCCCACAAACTGATGTTCTGGAGGGGTGTTGGGTGGGGAGTGGTGGAGGACTTGAAGCATCCAGAGGGGGGAGGATAGGAGGCTGGAAACCCCTCTATCTGCGGCCCCATAATGTTTTTTTCCCAGCCCTCTGCTCCAAGGGTTGCTGAAGACAGACTCCCAGTGTCCTCCCCCATGGACAGATCCTGTGTACCTCCAACCATAGATTGGGCATGGCCCCAGAGGCCTTCAATCTCACCCCAGTAGTGGACATGGTAACCTCTTGCAGGTTTTCTTCTGGATTGGAAATGGAGCCAATGAGTCAGAAAAGGAGGCAGCAGCGGTGATGGCACAGGAGTACCTGCGGACCCACCCCAGTGGGCGTGACCCCGAAACCCCCATCATTGTGGTGAAGCAGGGTTATGAGCCCCCCACCTTCACAGGCTGGTTCCATGCCTGGGACCCTCTCAACTGGGCTGTGAGTCATTGAGGGTGTTTGAAAGACCTGGGGGGCCCTTTGCAGACGTTCCTGGGTGTGGGTCTAGCTCCAGGAAGCCTCTTGGGGGTGTGGGCAGCAGTTGGCCTGACCCCTGCCCATGCTGAGGGGCTGAATACTTTTGTCCCCTTCCCAGGACAAGAAATCCTACGAGACGCTGAGAGCCGAGCTGGGCGATGAGAGTAGGCTTGGGCAGCTCACCTCAGTAAGTGGCACAAGGAGAGGGGCAGCCAGACTGGGAGGGGGCACAGAAAGCCTCTCCCTCCCCTTGGCAGGTGCAAGGAGAGACCTCCAAGTGAGGGGACACCTGGAGCCAACCTGGTGCCTCCATCCCTGGGGCAGCCCCTGATGTGACCCTGCTCCCCCCTTCAGGTGCTCACATCCAAGCAAGAAGTCTTCACCGCCTCAACCACCCTCGTCCCCTCCAAGCTGGAGACCTTCCCCCTGAATGTGCTGGTGAACACCTCAGCCGAGGACCTGCCACAGGGTGTAGACCCCAGCAGGAAGGAGGTGAGAGAAGGCTGGGGAACTGCTGGGGTGGGAAACAGGGAAAGCTACCCGGTGCTTTAGCTCAGCCTCCTCTCTCCTCCCCCAGGCCCATCTCTCTGACGAGGACTTCCAGGCTGTTTTCGGCATGAATCGCTCTGCCTTCGGCAACCTTCCCTTGTGGAAACAACAGAAGCTCAAGAAGGACAAAGGACTCTTCTAGGGTAGGAGCCTGGGCCGAGGCAGAACCCCAGCTCCTAATTTTTTATTAAATAAAATTAATTTGGAGAGCAGGGCTGTGTCTCCCTCCCTCCCCTCACAACCCCAGAGCTCAGCCCAGGTGTGGGGCTTATTTGGCAAAGCGATGGCACACAGAGACACACAGGTCTTGACCGGGCACCGGCAGCACAGGGCAGTACCCCCACCCCTTTGCCTTCCTTTGCCCTGCCTGCATGCAGAGGTGATGCACAAGCTGAGCATGCCCGAGGAGCCAGGACTCTCCCATCCCACCCCTGTGCCTTGCAGCTCCGGGCTAAAGGTCTAATATACAGCCTGAGCCGCTCCCTCCCTTATCGCCTGAACTGCCGAACCACGGTAAATATGTGCGGTACCAAAGGTAAAGGAGGGGACAGTGTGTGTGGGGGGACAGATGCCAGGGATCACTTGTCTTTGCCCCAGCTGGGGAGGAGGACATCTCCCTTCCGCTTGGGATCCGCAGGAATCCTGAGAGGCACTGGGGTGTCCCCTGCGGGAACACATTTCTGTCAGAGGGGCCGGGATTAGCATGTGCCGAGGGGCGTTGAACGCACACACACACACACACACACACACACACACACATGCACACACAGAATGTCCCCAGGCAACTGAGCAAAGTCCCAGAGCCAAACGGGAGGAGGAGGTGCGGTGCCCAGCAAGAGGCAGCAGTCCAGGCAATGTGGAAATAAGGTCCCAAATCAAGAGAGGGTTAATAAAGAGGTTTTAATTTCACAAAAATCTATCTACACATCATTTAAAAATGGGCAGGAGGAACCCAAGAGCAAAAACTGTAAAGAATAGAGGAACAGGTCTGCTAAAACACAGAGAAAAGCGCTGCTCCACATCAACAGTGTAAAGAACCAGAGTGTCGAGGTGCAGGCAGAAGCCGGCAGCAGCCACCCCGGGGCAGGCAAGGTTGGAGTCTGGCAGCAGACCACATGGACAGCAGCTGCCAGGGGTCCCACATCCCTCTTTTTCTCTTTGGCGGGCAATTACAGGGATAATTAGCTCCATTAAAACCAAAGCAGATGAGTTATTCCCAGCCCCACTCCCCGAGCACTACATTCCCCATGTGCCCCGTGCCGGGGTGAACTACAGCAGGAAGCACTGAGCTGGCAATCAGCCCTTCCTTGGACTCAGGACGGGAAGGAGGATGCACGGGCGATGGTTATCTGTCCGGCACTGAGCAAGAGGTGGAAGGTGATGCCATGGCCACAGGCGTCAGAGAGCCCTGCTCCCTCCTGTCGGTCCCACGCTGCCACTCCAGTCGGGAAACCTTGTCCTTGCCCTGCAAAGGCTCCTCGTGCAGCCCCACTGGCCAGGGCTCCCCAGGGACCTGCACACAAGCTCCAGTTCATTGACACAAAAGCTTTGCACCTCTCGGATTAGGGGTGTAAATCAAGAGCAAATTAGAGCAGTCAGACAATGAGGGGACAAAGGGACAGTGGGATGGGAATTCCTTGAGTTCATATACTGAATCACACTTGTTCTAAACTAGGCTGATTCAGAAGCAAGTAAATAATTAACTGAGGAAGAGCTTGCACGTGTTCAGGGACTGCAACTGAGCTTCGCCGCCCTATACCCCAGGACAGGTATTCCATGTGGAAAGTACAACCTCACTGAACTTGTTGCTGCAACAGTGTGAGCAGTGGGAATGATACATCTGGTGGGCAGCACATCCCTTGAGGATTACATACCCACCTTCCTACCCCCTGCTCTCAGACAGGGACAAAGCTGGCTTCTGCAAGGAAGGGGCTCCACGGACAATCCTGTCAGGGTGAAGGTGCGACTGAGTTGCCGTATGCCAAACAAAAAAGCGCAAATTCATTAACAGATGTCTGCAAATTCTTAATGGCTAGAATAACAGGCAAGAACTTTTCATAAAACAAGGAACACTGGTTTCAAGCATCAGCTTTTGCATCTTGATCCAAACAAAACTAATTTTAAACAAAAGTTACTGCACTGAAAAATCAGGCAATGTTTGCTTTTATTATAAATTAACTGGAGTGCAGCGCCTTACAAAAACAACCTTGCCAACCAAAAAAGCAGATCTGACTTCTGACACTACAGGAATACCAGTTATTTACAGCACAAGCAAGGGATGTGCTTGGGGAAAACGGGTTTGCCCTCTGGATGGAGCAGTCCATCACATTCGCAGGGCGATCAGTTCAAAGGACAACTCCCATGTTACCACCTCTTCCCATTGCCTGGAATTCTACCAAAATTAGTATCAACAATAGAAAAGTATAATGCTTTGTAATAAATTAACATATACAGCCCCTCGGGCAGCATCTCACGAGATAAATGTTCTGTCATGTCTACAACCAAACATTTGCTCCTAGCTCAGAGACCAGGAAGACGCCACCACGACCTGGGCCCTGGGCTCGTCACACGTGGGGACTGGGAAGGAGGTCAGTCTCTTCACCACACCGGAGTCCCCAGAGTGCTCGGGGTGGGGAAGACACCAACAGCTGTCACTCACTGCTGCACACACAGGTGGGAAGAGGCCACTGAGGCAGCAGCAATCCCAGCCAGCCCGCTAGGATAAACTATAGTGTGGAAGTACCCGTGAAAGGTGCCTGCTGTCTCCTAAATCGATGGTTTTGTCTGCTTTGCTTCAGCTGATTTTATTCCTGAGAAACTCCTAACAATAGTTAAAAAAACTCAGAAACTATCTCAACAGCAAAAAAGATGAATTTTTTTTTTTTAAAGAAGTCTTTCACCTCTGGAACTCAAGCTGTGATAATCAAAACTAAAGGCAATTACTCTGCTTACAGCAACAACTTCTCTGAAATGAGTAAATACTAGTGAAAGGAAACATCTGCCCCTGCTAAATTAGTGCAAAGGTGCTGAAAAAAAATGAAATGGGCTTCTACTCCCACTGCTGAAACAAACTATAAAAGGAGCATCATGCCTCTAAACCCAATAAAAAGCAACACTTCTTTCTAACCATGTTCCATTTATGCTGAACAAGGGCCTTCTGTAAGTTTTTACCTGGTTTAGTTTCACAGTTTGAGCGTCCTGCACTCCTGAGAAAGGAGAACAGAGGCATAGCTGCAGTACAAAGCCTCTTACCCTGGAACAACACAAGATCAAGGAAAGACCATGGTTCAGTCACAGAGCAATTCAAGTGCCAGGCGCTGCCTTGCAGACCCTTTTCCCAGCATCCTCGTTTCATGATGATCCAGGTCTGAGCAGGAAGGGCAACACCAGAATGCTCTTTCCTTCCCAGAAGATGCACAGCAGCTGTCGCTCACCTCCTGCCACTGCTCTGTCTGTTCCAGGTGTTCAGTTACTCTGGAGTCACACCGGAGCAGCCCCAAGCAACGTAACACCAGTGAGAAACACAGCACACCCAACAAGAGACCTCGCCTCTCCAAATGGTACTGATGCAACAACCTCATGAAGAAAATGCAATCAGATAATAGAACTTGTAAAACAAAAAAAAAGAAATCACATATATAATCTCATGTCTAAATGAGGATGACAGTGAATGGTGTAAAAAAACGACAGAGCTGCCACCAGGTATCAATACATTCCACAGCACCGACAGTCTGTTTCCTTGAACCGCATGTGAATAGCGGAGCACTCACAAACCCATGAATGTCACAATGCATCAGCTTGAGTGATTCCAAAATGCCTGTTAGCCAGAGGACTGGCAAGAGCCTACTCAGCAATCGGGGCTTCCAGTGAATATTACTAACACAACACACGCCAGGTTACAGAGTCTATTGCTTAAATTGCTCTTGGAGAAAGAGAAAAAAAAAAAGCGCCAAGTGATATGTAAATCTTCGCCACTCACGTCTCACAGGTGAATGGGCTTTTAAAGTCAAGTCTCTTTTTGCACTATTCTTTAAACCAGTTTATGAGCAGCTGTAGTCTCGTGGCTTGATGCAACTCTTTAAGGCTCCATGCTGACAAAATTATTTGAGAACAATAAAAAACTTCACCACAGGAGGATCGCTCTGGATGTCAAGGTTTAAACGCGTAGTTCAGGCCCAGGACTTGCACAGATGGTTCAACAAACCGAGCGTCCCATATTTCTATCTTTTGTCTCTTGTTTTGGCCCTGAGCTGTTTGTTACTCCTGCGTTGTCTGGCACAAGTTCAGAATCTTCCTTGCTCCTCAGGAGGAACAAGGTGTTTTACTCTTCACAGAGGCTGACGAACCGATCTTCCTACTTCCATGCTAAGTGGCTGTGCATTTTTTTCTGTTTCTAGTAACTCATCGAAGATATCCCTAGAGGAGAGGGAAAGACTAACAGTGAAACTTATATCCAGTAACAAATCGCTACATAAGACAGCCCAGAGGGAACCAGCAACTGGATTTAATTCACAAACTCAAGCATCACGGATGCTGGCACAGAGAGGTGCCTTATCTGGCATCCAAGCAGCAGTAAAGACGGAAGAGGAGGACAACCCCTCCCTTCTTCAGTTCTGTGTGCCTGAAAAGATATAATTTCTATTCTACCTACAATCCTCATTTCGGCTGTGTCCTGAGATGACCGTGGCTGCAACACCACAGCTGCTAGGAGCAGGGATGAGGGCATTTACAAATATCACAGCACTTAAGCAGAAAAACACAAGCTCCATTATGATTCCAGGTGCAATGCATGCATACCTGAGACACTGAATCCCCTCCTCAAAATATGATTTAACGCATTCCTTAAAATCCTATGTATTATTGGCACACAATCTCACATCTCTGAACATTGAACACTTCAGTTTTGCCATTCTGGATAGTTTTCATCCCAGCAAAGAAGACTAGAGGAGGAAGAAGAGAAGCCTTCTTCCTCATGAACATGGGGTAATTACCAGCACCAAACTCCTCCAAGACACCTACTTGTGCATGTAGAAGAAGATGTAGCCACTTCGGTCTCTGTCACACTGAACGGTGGTCTCTAGAGTTCTAGACACTTCCAGGTCATTGTAGGTGAACCAGGACTGCTTCTTGATATCATAGACATCGCTGATATAATGACCTTAAAAAGGGAGAATCATAGAATGGTTTGGGTTGGAAGGGACCTCAAAGATCACCCTGCTCCAAACACCATGCCATGGGCAGGGACACTTTCCACTAGATCTGGTTGCCCAAAGCCCCATCCAATCCAGCCTTGAACACCTTCAGGGATAGGGCATCCACAGCTTCTCTGGGCAGCTTTCTTTCCATGCTGCAGTTTGACCAGTAAGCTGATCAGCTACATACCCTGCTCCAGCCACCTATGCCAGATATAAATGCTAAAAGACCCTTCAGATCCTGGTCCCTCCATCTTTCCCTTAATCAGATGGTAACAAGCACAAGCAATTCCACAGAGCCCACAAGCTGTGTGCTTTCCATGGGCACCATGACATCCCCCATCAGCAAGTCATGACAGTGGATTTGCTTTGCTGCCTGGATTCTTTTCTATAAATAATCCTGCTACAGTAATTCTGTATTACAGATTTTTTTTTAACTAGGTAAGACATGAAGAATTAAATATGGTATCTTATACCTGAAGATGATGTGCTTCCAATATGGCTGACGATGCTGATGAGACGATAGGAGTGAGGAAGCTCTCCTGTCTGAATAAAAAAACCCCACAAAACAATTAAAGCTTTTAGGATTCACTTTACCATGTAGCTTATAGATAAGATGATTTGTACTTGTGATACCAGCTTTGGCCACTGTATTCAAAGCTGCAACCCAATCAAGGATTACAGAAACAGATACCCTGGTTCACACCAAACAAGGAGTCTTTCCAGAAGTGGGAAAAAGCCTCCCATCTTATTTAATCTTTCAGCAAGCCAATGAACATGCAAACAACCCACTCTGACCTCAGAACAGATGCTGACACGAGCTCTACACTGCAAAGTTCTCTAAACAACCATTTCCTGAGCGACTCCCACTGATGTCAGAGTTAATCCACCAAATAAACAAAAAAGCCAAAAAGGAACACCATGCTTACTTCTGAAGTATCAAAGAAATACCCTTGATAATGGTACACAGATTTAACAGCTGGTACCGGATATGTAGCCCAAGTTCTCTTGTCCTGCACCTGTAACATCAGGCAACACCCTCTCTGCACGCGGGAAACATGCTCTGTCTATTCACTGGCTTTTGGCTATTTTTTTGATCCTCACTGACCAGGAAATGTTACTGATACTCTTTGCTGACAATACACTTAAAACCTAACTCTTAGTTTAAGGGTAAGAAACTTGAAAAAGCATTGTAAGGAAATTGAAACTGTTCAAAGAAACTCCAGTTATTAAAACCTTTCCCCCTCAACACAGCACTCTTTCCACTGAGGCAAGCAGGCAACTTCCACAGTGCTGCTGCGTGGAGCCTGAGTGTGCCAGCGGCCGGCAGCACAGCCCACACTCAGGCGTCCCCAGTGGCAATAAGATCTTGCCACAACCTCTCAGTTCTGGTGGTTCACCACCTAGAAGCCCATGACTAAACTACCATGTAGTCCTCTCCTCTTTCTCTCTGTAAGTAAAAATTTCACAGAACCACTGCTTTATGTACACTGGAATGTTTCTGGTATAAAATTCAACATTACCCACATCTCAGAAAAACTCGGAAGGTCTCTGCAGCTATTTTTTTGTTTCGGTTTTTTGTTTCTTTTGAGGTTTTGTGGTTTTCTATGTGTTTTTTTTTTTTTTAATTAAAATAACACAATAAGACAGACTCTTATGGATAGAAATTTTTAATGATTTCACTGTTGAATATAAAAGACCTTTCTAGTCTCTACACCTGCTCTTTGAAACTATCTCCAACAATAGTAAAGAAGGGGCTTATTCCTTGGGTGGCTTTTGAAACCATAGATCATACCTCAGCATTTCTTTTCAGCTCTTCTGCTTCAGCTTCTGAATATTCCATGTCAAGAACATCCTCATTCCCAGAGTCTTCATCAGAACCAACGCTGTCCAGGAGAGAGCTGTTAAACTCTAGATAGCATGGAAACAATGATACTGTGTGAGATGCTGTGGAATTCCAACAGGTTCAGATATATCTACCACATAAACAGGCACAATAAAATTTCGAGCTTCCTTTCCAAGGAAAGCAGGAGCTACTGGAATTTCCAAATAAAAACTCTCTCTCTCCCTTCCCCAACTTGTCAGAGCAACAGTTAAGTATCTTGGAATTAATTTTAGCATCATCTCCCTCATACTTTTCCAAAAGGGCACTATGGCAATGACAGCTGGGTGACAAAAGAGCATTTAAACATCCAGTTGGCTCCAGAGCACCAGCAGGTTGCAGCCAGGAAAGACGTAAGAGCAGTACAGCCAGTCTGGTCAGTGAACTGCAAGTTTCTGCAATGAGAAGCTATGAATTACAGTTTCAACTATAAGTTGCATTAACAAAGTGCATTTTTGAATTAAAACTGGCATCAAAATGCTACTGCTGGCAGCAGGCATCTTTTCATTGTTTTCAATGGTAAGAAGGCTGCTCACCACAGGAACTTCCAGTTTGCTTGGCTGAGCAAAATGCAGGCAGTTTTCTGTAAAGAGCCGGAAGGCACCACTGCTCCCTGTACACACTGTTCCAAACTTCCTGGGGTTCTGCAGCTACCCAACTAATTTAAGATTTTGTACTGTACTCATTAGGAGAAGTAGCTATGCTTTCACCAGTTAAATTAAAGCTATGGAGTCCTGGGTGGATGAGAAGTTGAGATTAACCGGACACTGCCCAGGAATTTTTTCTGGTTTGTTTTCAAGAGACTGTAACGCCAGCTATGATGGAGATGTTTTGCCAAAGAGATTCTCACACTGCTTGTCCTGTTAAGTCATCAGACACTGGATTAGTATAATCTTCTTGGGAAGTTTATAGATTACTCCCTTTAACTGAGAAACCTTTGCTGCTGCTTTCCATGCTTATTTGGGCTGTAAATTAGACTAAGCCAAGAAACACAACCACTTGGGTAGGTTCTGCATGAAGCACTTGCCATGAGAATTGCTGAACGGCACTTCACCAATGGTCCCAGGATGATTAGCGGTTCTTTGGTTACAGCATCACTGGGATCCTTCATAAGACAAATGCTACCAGCTCTATGTTCAAGATTATGATCATCTCCTTGAACTGGCTGATGCCTTACAAATGAGACAGTAGGAAGGCAAGGCTCTCGTTTAAGCCAAGCAACTGCTAATCAAGAAGATGAAGGATTTCTAGTCTTGAATTCTTCCTCAGTATGAATCAAGGAAGACCTGAGAGGGACTGGGCACTCTGTCTGCCAGAGCTCATAACAGGGGATGCTTCAATCAGCATTCAACTTACTTCTCTTCAGAAGCCAACATGGGTTCATCCAGCAACGACTGAGGGCCTTTAAAAGTGCCTGAGCAACTACAAGTACTTTAACACAACACTTCACTCCCTCTCCGGAGCAGGAATTTTCTCTCAGTTATGCTTTGCTCTGCCAGATTGTATGAAATCACTTGCATGCCAGCCTCACACAAATGCTAAACAGTGCCTGAGGCCTACCCCGCTGTCTGGATTTGGAGAAGACAGAGATGTGTTTCGTGTTTCTTTTTTCACCCCCAACAGCCATACCTTGCAAGTGAGGTCTGTCTCCCCCCATGCTGCATAAGACACAATATAGCACTGATTCATTTGCCCAGGTAAGGCCAGTGCATTCATTAATCAGCACTAAAATATCCATGCAAGTAAGAAATAATCCTTATGTTCTGACTAGAGCCATTACCATGCTGGTTTTTGCAGGGAATACAAAATTTCAAGACCCATTATGCTCTCTCTAGATTATGTATTAATCACTTATTATATATGGTTCATATGATACATTACACATCAGTCTATATAACTCTGTATTCTAACTAAAGAGACTACAATAAGCCATTTTTCAGATTAAGTTTTTCCTGGCATTTGCTTTCACAACCAAGAAAAGCTGACCGTGAACAAAGCCAAACACAACAAAGCACACACCAAAAGAACATGAATCCCAGCTGTCCTACTGACACTCAGGAGCTGCACTCGTATGCACAGATCAATTTTCCCTCAAAAGCAACATATTGGAAGAAGTTAAATAAGTTTCACCTTGTAGACTTAATTCCGTGGCTCGTTTGAGGTCATCATCCTCTTTTTGTTCTCGTGCCTCCTAATGGGAAGAGAACAAAACTTAGCTCATTGAGACATTTCACTGTTTAAAATTCTTGTGGTGCTCTTTTTCCATTGAAACTGTGCTGCTCTGGTTTCTACAACAAACTTGACATTGTAAATTAAAGGTTCTGTGTGAAGGAATGTTTGCAACCAGCGAGTCCAATGTTCCTGTGCAACAGAACCTGGGACAAACCTTCATTAAGGCTTGTCAAAGCTCCTGAAGTTTGGTATGCAGCAGAGCAAGTCTCGAGTAACACCAAATGCTTTCCCTGGATCATTAATTTGAAAAGCATCTGAATGAATTTGCAACCCTTCGCTAAGGAAAGCTGTCACTTATGCACAAAGCTCCTCACATTTTGGCAAAATTTAGGCTTCTGCCTAAAGCCAGCTGAGGACAGAGTCATTAAATCCTGACAGATTTTATTATTTGTAAGCCATTTGAAAGTAGAGCCAGTGGTTCTATGTAACAGGTGTATTCACAAAGACAGGATGCAAAAAGACAACACTTAACAACCAGGTATTAAAAATATTACCATGACCAAGTTGCAAAGAAACCTCAAGTCAACAAACACTTTTAATGTTTGAATAACATTATGCCCCTGTTCCTCCCACCACTCTTGAAAAGCCCAGAGCTATAGCAAGCCAGTCAATAATATTTAATGAGCTGGTTTCTTAATTCAGGATTTGAATGCTTTCAGCACACCTGAACGCAGCACCCCAACTATGCATTTCAAATCAAGATAACCACAGCTACCATATTTCCATGCCCAAGTCATTAGAATAGCAGATCTTTGCTTCAAAACTGTAGCAGAAACAGACTCAAAGGGCAGTTTTACATTATTAGCATGAGGCCTTTTATCTCACTATTTCTAAAGCATTTGGGAATCTTTGTTAAACTACTCAGCATCGCTGAATCAAAGCTACATCTGGCATGGAACATACCAACCAGCACCTCATAATGAATAATGGGAGAGAAAAATCCAAGAGCCATGGAAACATCAGATCTCATAAGGAAAACCATGACAGCTTTGGTATTAATAGAGAGCAGACAAGGGCACCTATTTAAAGAAAGACCTGGCTAAGTGCTTGATTCATTCCCAGTGGCTTGGTTAAAACTTGTGGAAATCAGTTACAGATCTTGAAATTCAAGTGGAATACAGATGGTTAGCACACAACCCAAGCTCCCCATTCTTTCGTAGTCCAATTTAAAGGACTCGCTTTAGACTAAATTATTTGCGATCCTTTCTCCAATTTACTAAGAGGGAAGGATCACATAAATGCTCAGTTCCTGTACTCTTCACTAAGCCCCCGAAACAAGGCCATGAGGGACACATCTTTAACCTGACCCAACATGGTCGTTCTTAGCCTTGGCTTTGAAACCTCCCTCTTTCACCAAGTCTTGACATGACATGCCGCAAGAAACTACTTCCAGGGAAGCTAAAGGTGGGCTGGATCCTTGGTGACAGAGTACGAGTTTAGTTCAGTTTATCATTGTTTTTAATATAATGTGACAAGCCAGTGTATAAAAGTCCATGGAAAGCTTTGAGAAATCTGTGGGTCTGTAACGCGATATACAGTTTTCAAAGCACTTACAAAATGTGCCCAGATGTATCCAGTGTCGTCACTCTACTGACACTGGAGCTGGAAGAAACCCAAACTTTTTCCCCATCTGATTATCTCAAAAAAGCAGCAGAATGCCCTTCAGTAACTGCCTGAACACAGGCTTTTACTTTAGCTGTCAGGTTTCCAGCATTGGGAAAGGTAACTCAAGGAAAGAAATTTTATTTCTTACTTGCTCTTGAAGGCTTTGAGCCAGTGCCTGCTGAAGTTCTTGTTCTTCCCTCTCTCTCTCCATATCATACTGCTGCAGCCAGTCAACCTCCCCCTGGGAGCCTTCTGGAGTTTTGTTTTCCTTATTCTCATCGAAATCTTTAGTTATCTCTGTGAAATTGGCAGGACCTGAAGAATCAGAAAGTACAGTTATGCTTTCCCGGGTCTTCTGTTTGTAACCAGCTAATTCCTCCTTAAATCACCACAATCCTTGCAGCACAGTGACATCTATTGACAGAGCGAGCTCACCAGCCATAACCCCCCCCCCCCACATGAGTCAAATGGAAAAAGCTGCAAAGCACAGTCTTATAACCATTTTAACTGGCACACAACATACCATTTGATTAATCCCTGTACCTGTTTTTAGCCTTTTATGTTCATTCAGAAACAGCAAGTTTAACTGAAGTAAGAAGCCACACACCACTAGATTTCTGCAGCCAAGAAGCTGATAACTGAATTTCTCTATAAGAAACTCTGGATTATAAAAATTTGCATTGCATATTATCCCTCCGAGTACTATAGATGAAGCCACAATTAAAGCCAAATCATAGGCTAGATGGAGAAAAGCACAAACCTCAAGAACTGTTTAAATCTGGCACCTTTTCCTTCAGGTAAGAACCTCAGTCTTGTGAACACTATGTATAGCTTTAAAAGTGCACGAAGATTATAATTTTTCAGTTCACTTTTAAAGTGAACACTGTGGCAGAAGTGCTTTACAAAACCTCTGGAATGAACATTCATTCAACCACTGCAGGTGCAGGACGCTTTGATTCTCCCACTTGCTTACAACTGGATAAGTGTCAGGACCTGCTCCAACTGCTATCATAAAGCAGCATGTGAAACTTCATAGTTTTGCCCTATGCAGACTTCAGTATCTGCTGATTAGTTATTAACAAGGATAACACATGGCAGGTCTTAGTATCTGTGAACCCTAAACACAACACCACCAGAACCACAATCCATCAGTCTAATCCTCTTCAGATGGAAACCAAAACATGACCTTTGAAAACTTCCAATGTATAAAGGAATATAGAACTTCTATTAAACATTTTTGCTTAAGTGCCACAAAAGAGCCTTCAAATAACTACATTGTACTTTCCAAAGAAAACACGGAGAGAGATACCTTTATGTAGCCACGTTCTATCACGGTTCTTTCTCTCACACCACCACAAGCAACATTAGTGTATATAAAGGAGGGCACAAACCAGGTTAAGCACAGACTTAGTTTTCTTACACATTGCCTTCCAACATCAAGGCTGTCAAGAGTTGTCCATTGAAACAAATGTAATTTTTGGTAATAATGGGGTATTTTGTTGTTAATATTTAACCTCCTGGCTATTAGATGATAAGAGCATATTGTCGGTCTGGTTTTCCACACTAGCAAAATTTGAAACCCATTCTTGCACACCAGCCTGTGAACACTGCTGTTGTGCTGCCCAGGCTGCAACAGCTACAGAAATTAAAATACTTTCTGAAAATACTATCTGAAAATACTTCAGTGGAGGATTCAGTTCTAGACATCGTCAAATCCTAGTACAGTGAAGTCTGGCACAGGAATCTGCAGAGGTATGTGATAATCAATAGAGAAAAAATGGAAATTAACTCTGAATCAGATAGGTGACAGGTATACAAGAAAATAAATTTCCACAATTAATTAAATGCTTTATATACATGGAAAATGTAAGAAGGAAGTCAGGAATTTTCAGTAGTGCACTTGCATCCAGTTTCTGCCACCAGACATTACTAACATGATGCTATCAGTAACCTGCTTTAGCCCACTACAGTCCAATTAAGATGGTTACTTTGCCTTACCTGAGTCTAATGCTGTTCTGGGCTTCTCCATCTCCACAGATTCTAGGTTTTCCGGCGATTCCTGAATTTCATCATCTCCAAAACCAGTGTCTGGGCTGCTTGTGGGCTTATCTTCATCCTGGCTCACAGACAGAGAAGCTTCTCTTTTGCTAATCTCTAAGACAGCTGCTAGCAGCTCATCTTCGCTCATCCCATCAAAACCAGCATTACCCAGCTCAGGTTTATCACCCTCCATTTTACTTCTTTTTGAACCCTAGAGACAAATGGAGTTATGATTAAGTGCTTGAATAAACAGGTATATAACATCAGCTTTACAATTCTGTGGATTTTTTTTTTTTTTTTAATTTTATTAACCCCAGGGAGCAGGAGCTTGGCTCCGTAAACAGTCAACAGATAGTTACATGAGACTCAATGAAGAGACAACCTTTGTAGCTACACTCACTCCAAGGAGTAATATTTAAATATAAACTATAACCAGTTTTTACAGGCCCTGTGGATTAACATACACAAGATAACTCTTTCCTTCTCCCTCCTTTCCTTCAACACAGTTCCCCCTTTAGGTCCTGATGAATCCTCAAGCCCCTGGCAAGTCAGTGCTGAGTTACAAGCAGGGAAATTGCAAGTTTGTTAACAAGCGATGAAGCAGCACCATGACAATAACTCTACTTGAATATAGGGACAGGAGGATAGGAACTGAAATTGGGCTGGTATGAAGAGCAATTAAAATTAGGTTTGGTGCTGCAGACTTGCCATATGACTGCAAACTAAGCAATAAAACAGTTAAACAAGGAAAGGGAGGAATTATTCTTTCCCAAGGAGAACAGAATAACTTTAAATTGGAAGAAAGAAAAAAAAAACTTTGGTATTAATTTGAAATTTTTTATAGTCATTTTCCTAAAACTGATGCTCATCAACTCCTATAACCATGGTGGTTTGCAAATAATAACTTCAATAATTTTGATATTAACTGTTAATCAGAGGTTAACCCCCAAGTATGCATATTTACACAATTACACTATTTACCACATGCTTAGATTTTTTTTTTTCCATATTATGTTTAAAATGGACTAAGATAGAAACTATTAGAATGTTCTTCTCCAGGTCTTATTCCAAACTGCATTTGGATGGATCTCGGAACTTTGTTAAAATGAACAAAAATAAATTTTTACTGCTTTTTATTCAAATACAGCAAGCTTTTATAAAGCAAACTGCCTTATCAAACAAGATTAGCAAACGAATTAGCCAACTAAACTTCTTGTTCTAGATATGATGCCCTGCAAGAATTAGAAGCAAAAAATTCAAACCTCTCTCCTCACAGCTATTCATGCCCTAAATAAGGAAAGCAGAGGACCTACTACTTAAGCTTTTTGATTTCTCTCTCTGTAGGCTACCAACATCAAAACTGGTTTATCTCTTCAGCAAACCCTAGTTCCAGGCTCTCTGCCAACAACTACCACTAATTCAGTGGTCAAACTTTAAAGACTTGGCAGCAGCATCTGTGCATTATTTGAATACAACTTTTCTACTAGACATTATTTGCATAGATTTAGAATAGATTAGGCTTTAAGACAGGCTGCTTTAAATAAGCATTTTTAAGAAGTCCTTCAAATACTACTATATCTGCAGAGATCACAGGAGTTGCAGCTCTGCCCTGTTTAGCTGGATAACTGCTATTTGCCCCTACAACCCACAGCTGTATAGAGATGCTACTCCAGCCGTTCTCCCACATGGCAGGGATGTTTTGCAAGCAGTGCCTGGCTGGGGATGTCCTGGCCATACAAAGTGACTGCCAAGCCCTTAATGCTTTTCCCCATCCACATCTGCTATGAGAATCACATCAAGGGAAATGGTGCAGCAGAAGTACTGCCACTTCCAAGGACCAGGACCAGGTCCCCCAGGACAACACTGAGAAGGTCAGAGGTAACAGATGGTTGGTCATGCCTGTGGTTGAGAAGCGGCCAATGTGCATGGCCACAGGATAACATCACTTATGTGGAATCATCACCACCACTGCCTCTTTCCCACAACAGGCTGAAAAGCCTGTAGTTAATCTGTTATTCAAATTAATAGGCTTTATTCCCACAATTTCTGCACTCACAGGGCTTGTGTGATAGAGACTACCCACTGTTCCTCACAAACAAAACTCAAGGGATAATAAATTAGGACAGTTTGAAACACCTTTTCTATACATAAGAGGGACTTCAAAGACAAGCTCATTTCCTTCCCCTAGCCACAGCCAGGTACAGATGTGCCATGCAGGATAGCAGTCGCCTACCCCGTTCCTGAGATCTTCAGAAGGGGTTTTCTGCTTTTTCCCCAAGCAATCCATTCCATTCCTACGTATCCTGAGCATCAGGAAGTGTTCCCTAATATTTAATCTAAAAACTACTGTCTGCAATTTAGTCTATTACTTCTTATTCTATCCACCATAGGCATGGAAAACAGCTCAAGTGTTTCTACTAATTTTGTTTCCTTCCTTGAAGATACAAGCCTTGCTTAGGTTTCTCCTTAAACTAAGGACCAAACCAAAGACCACTTGCCTGCTCTTTCTCCTAAAATCTCCCTTTTAAGACCTGTGACCATTCATGTTCCCCTCCTCTGGCCCCTTTTCCAACCGATCTATAACTCTTTTCAGTCCAGAACCCAAAGATGGATTCAGAACTCCAGCTAAAGCTCAATGCTGAGGAATAAAGAAGAGTTCCTTTACACAATATGCAGGCTATGGCTCTGTCGAGATACTTTTGCTTTCAACCTGCCTGACCTTGTGTCCTTTCATGCCCCTTCTGAAGCCCGCTGCCTTCCCAGCTGTTCCCATCCCACATTTACAATTGATTAATCCTGCTAAGATTAGCACCTTTAGCCTGTTCCTACCGAACAACCCCTCCTATTTTTATACAGTTGCTCAGATTTGTCAAGATCATTCTTAACTGTAGTTTTGAGCTTCATCAAACTGGCAGCCCTTCCCAGCTCTAGATCTACTGAAAATTTAATACTTAGTATCTATTTTATCATTTATTAAATACCGCATCAGGATCCTCCCTTGGTTTGATCTTCCCATCAGATCAGAAACTGTAGATATCTTCCTCTTGTTACTTAATGCTATTCATCCAGTTTTACACCTGTCCTTTAATGTCATAATCAAAACAAGTCTCTGCTTGATTAAAATAACCCTATGAACATTGTCAAAAGCTTTAGAGAAGCAGAGATGCAGGACACTTGTCCTAAGCACTAGGCCTACAACAGTCTTAACAGAAGAAAGTGGTACTGCAAGATAATCCTCTAAGCTGCTTCTTTTCCCTTCTGGATCATCATTTCTTCCCACAGAACTCATCAACCTGCTAATAACACTGCCCTGACAGAGGTAAAAAAAAAAAAAAAAAACCAAACCAAAAAAACAACTTGGCAACATTAACACTAGTCACAGGGAAGAGCTCAAAGGCAATTTGAAGTTAACTGTGCCATTACACCAATGAGCTTGGTCTCTTCACACTTCTGTGGGTCTGCCTCCAAAGGCTTTAGCTTCAGATTCTAAAAGCATTTAAAAAGCCACACTTGAGAGGGGACACAGATTGGATGTGCACGAAATTCTCTCAACTGAGTACTTTGCTTAACTCAACTTGTACTGGATCTAATTTAATCACGGGCTTTACTGCATAATTTTATTATTGACAGCATATTATTAGTGAAAATTGCCTAAAAGACTGACCAAACTGCTAAGCAGCTTGTACACATAACCTGAAAACTCAAGTGCATTTGCAATGCAATTACCTCTGTTCCCAGTGGGAACCCAAGACAACTGTACAGAGAGGTCAATTAGCAAAGCACTCCCTTCCAGCACTGCAGTGCTAATTAGGAGAAAACCCCCTTGTCTGACATCAATTTCACTCTCAGCTTATGCTAAAAAACACAGACCAGACATGTGCACATACAGGATCTAGTACATGAAAGTTTGTGGGGTTCTTCCCTTACCTTCTCTGGCTCTTCTTGCAGCTGTTGCTGATCTCTACTCGGTATGTTACACAACCTTTGGCTATGGGCAACAGAGCGTTTCAATGGCTCATCATCGCTGTCAGAATCTACACACAGTGTTGCAGAGCTCTTTGACTTGAAAGTGTATTTTCTGTAAAGTAAAAACATGGCTATAAAACTCCATAGCGTTGTAGCATCGTACAAATGTGTTTCAAAGTAACAATTACAGTACTACTTTCACACTGTACAATTTATGGAACAAATTGCAACAACTGATAGTGACAGTGTATTAACATAGCAGGCAGGGGTTTCAGAACAGCTCTATTTTACTGGGTAACTGACATATGTACTTTAAACCTGCAATAGCAGCTTACAACATAAAAGTTACTAAGTGCGTGGCTCCTACTTTTAAGGCCAAAGATTTTGCACTTTTATTACCTTGCAATCCCAGACAGTACTCATTTGAGTCAAGATCACACTAACACGTAGAATTTGGCATAAACCATTGGACTTCTCAAGTTTACTAAGCTGGACAGAGGACTTCCCACATCATTACCAGGATATAAAAAGCACAAATCTGCATAAGTTTTTCAGTTTTCCTGTTTGCTTCTTCATTAAGATAAATTCTTATTCTTCAGAACAAAAAACAGGAGAGTCTGGGGAAGTCACGATTTCTGCTGGATTAGTAAGTCTGGTCTTTAAGTATTCCACTATCCAAAACCATCCAGCGTGATATCACATTTTTCACTGTATCAAAAACTGGCCTTTCAAAAATGCCTATAAAACCCTATGCCCTCTCATCCTTGCAAGTAAACTTAAACTCATCACCTGTTCCAAACTCACACATTTTGGCTCAATAGAGTCAGAACAGAGAAAAGAGCTAGACTGCAGAATTTGAAACCATTTTCCTTCTTATATATGTGACTTGCAAACACAAGCACAAACTAGTGAGATAACTCACACTGACAAATTATCTATACAAAATATATCCAGCTGTCATTCTGATACTCAGTCTTCTGCCTGAAAAAATCATCTTTGCTTACCTGCAAGTCCCCAAAGGTTCTCAAAGGCAGTGCTAAGGTGATCATGCCAACTAGGCAAATTGTACCATTGACGTTAAGTTCAGCTAGCATGTAACACCAACAAAACTCAGATATGAAAAAAGACAGTAGCTGAAATAATTTACTACAACATAAAAAAACAAAAAAACCTAAAAGAAAACAAATACAAGTGGTGGAACTATTAAAAAAAAATTTTAAATGCCTTTGAAATTATGCCATGAAACCCCAGGCCATGGACATTTCAGAGCTATAACTCACCTACAAGGTGTGGAAGTGCTTACAGTACAAGAATTCACCATTTGGGAGGCCTTCAATGGACGGGAACTATTAAAAAAAGTAAAGTATTTATTGCAGTAGTTAAAGTCTTTAAAAAATAAGTGTTTACTTGTCTGCTATGCATGCAAATTCATGACCAAAGAAACAAGTAGAATACCATTATGTACTTGCTAATTGCATACATTTACAGTAATAACTTCATCATGCTATAAATAAACAACAGTTGTGCAAAACCATATATAATCCTTTAAACTTGATTCACTTCTTAGCAATGCACCCTTAGGGACAAGCTCACAAATTAAAGGCTCTGAGCTCCCATGTCAAGACAACCCATTCTTTATTTTTTATTCCCACCAACATTTGAGTTCCTGCTCCCAAACCACAGTCTCCTCCTGCTGTCTGGATCAGCCGGTTTTCTGGCATATCTCACGTCTTCATTTCTCCTTCCTTACCTAGATTCTTCTAAATAAGCTTCCTGCTCCATTTAATCCTTTCATGGGTTCCTTTAAAGTCCATCATTATCACTACACACCTACCCAACAGATGGTAGCCAATGCAGAAATATTTTCTAATCTTCCCCTTCAAACTAGGGGAAATTTCTCTCCAGCCTAGTCACCCTTCCACTCCCTGATCAATCACAATGGTTTCAGTGACTAAAAAAACTCCAAAACATTGTAAAGCTACTTCGAACCTACTCTCAAGTATTTCTCCTCTGGTCAGCATAAGCTGCTTGTTATGTTTGAGATAAAGAAACTCTTGGGAAACATTCACTTAAATCTCAAACACCACTGAATGTTCAGTACAATATGACCTGCCACACTGCTGAACATACACACCAGATGTCCCCTAACCCACTATGGACACCCTGGCTATTTCACCAGGCAGGGGCTACAGGAGACCCGGCAGTTTCTTCTTCCTTATTCTGCCACAGACTTCCTATGTGACAATTGGCACAATTAATCTCTTTGTCTAAGGACAAGCAGCTGTACAGAAATAACTGTCACAGGGAAAATGAGAGAGTATTTTCAGCATGTGAAGTGCTCAGATACTACAGTGGCACAGTAAAACCAATGAAAAATGAATGACAGCACAGGAGGTACAAGTGGAAATTTGCAGAAAAACGTGGGATGTTATGTCTTCTAAGCAGAGTTAAGCATGCTGTGAAGGGAAATATAATCTAGTTTATTTTAGACTGAGTGGCACATATTTTAAAAATTACTAACTGAAGTGTTCTTAAAAAGATTATAAAATTATTTTCAAGGGTAGTGAAGAATATTACCTTACCAAATATTCTCTAGATAATGCCCAACCACCATGTCCTACTGCTTCTATGTTTCCTTTCTATACTTGTTCTCATGATGGCATCATTACAAACTAGCAGCACACACCTGAAACTGAATAATTTTAATGTTTCCTTGCCTAGACATCTGGTGGAGGAGATCTGACAACTGCCTACCTTGTGGCATACATGGTTAACATGGCACGCACCAAAGCTGTAGACTTACATGGCAGAATGGACGCTCCATCCCAGCGTCAGTGGCAGCCTGGTGCTTTCGGTACAGTGGGAAAGCAGGGTTAAGTATCTCGGAATAACCACCTGCTGCCCAACTTTATGATTGAGAGACAATGCTACATTGAAGCTGTATCGTTTCAGGTGAAGAATCAGGACCCTGAGAATGATGAGAGAAGGACAAATGTTAATTTCAAGGAAAAAGTCAAAGAAAACTATTCAAAATCCAAGTAAACCTGTTCACCAAATGCATTTTATCATTACAGGCAAGAATGCTAATAAATCATTCCTAGACATTCAAGTCTGTGATGGAGAGATCACACAGAAACCCCAAGAAAAGGGGAAAACTCAGTTCTCCTTATATATTGACAGGGAGGAAGAAAAAAGTACTGCAGAGGGTTCCCAAGAGAGATTCTTTAGAGGAAAACTGAAGACCAGGATGAAGGTGCACCTGCAGACAGTAGTTTTTCTCACAGGCTGACCACTGCACGTGCATTTCCCAGCTTTACTCTTTGAGGGACTTCTGCTTGCACTTTTGTAACATATCCTTCCAGCAAGGAGAGGAACGGGTGTAGACATTTACCTGGGAAGCCTGTTGAACTTGTGTGTGACAACAGCAGACTTTCCATTGCACTTCTCACAGGAATACTCAATCTCCTCAGCCTGTTGAAGGGAGCAGAGAAATCACTCGTGAAACAAAAGACACATCAAACAGATCTCAGCTGAAAGCACATTGTTTTTGGCAGTCATACAAACTCTTCAAAACAGCAGTAATACTTAAAATTATAATCACCTTCAACATGACCTAATAAGATGCCATCTAGTAAGAAAACAGGTAGAAGGGTTTAAAATTTGACAATGTATCCACTAATACAGGTGGAATTTTTCCTGTAAGTCTATTGTAGATCAGTGAATAAGCCACTTGTTAAGACAAATTAGCTTCTAAAGGGAGCGGTCAATCTTGTGAGGTTTACAGTTTTCTCTCCCTTATGCAGGATTTGCTGGGGTTTTTTTCCTAATAATCTATGGTGGAGAATGGTGCCATGAAATTTTCTCCCTCTTGTTCAAAACTTCTGCTTTGTTCCTCAAAAGCTATCCTCATCTAAACTCATCAATGATGTGCTGCATGAGAATAGCGTTTTGAACAGACATCAAAAAGGGAAGTATCACTTTCCTGAAATTACAAGACTTGGCCATCAAAATTTCTACAGCTCTTTGCCTTAAATGAGGCCAAATGACATCACAACAATATAAGAATTTTTTTTAATCATAAGGTCTCCATCAGCTTTTAGAAGAATTAACCCGTCAATTATTCTATCTGTTGAGAACACTATCTACATATGGAGAAAAAACACAAGTTTGTCTTGAGATATGACAAAATACAACACTACCTCACAGACATAAGGCTCTTTTTTAGCTTTCAGGAACATCACCTTGAAGCTCTGCTTACAAAACAAGCATCCAAATATTACAGCTACTTCTTTTTTTAATTATTGCATCTCGTGACCTTTTTCCTCCACGCTAATTAAGGCCAGTACATAGGTTGTTGAAGCATCCTAGCCCAGGAGAGGAAGTAGCAATTCCTGAGTGATTATCTCAATCTGACAGCCTTTGTATTTGTTTATACATCAACTCTTTGACTACAAAATGGAGAAGTTTGCCTATTTCACACCAGTATTGTAAGGATCAGTAATTTCCGCACAGCATTTTACAATAGAAACTCCTGTATGCTATTAACGGACAAACCTCACGAAAGTGCAAAGTTCAGCTGTACAACCAAAATTTACATGAGACATAACCTACACATAATTCCACAATGAATAAAAAAAACAACACCTCAAACTACATACACGAAAAAAGAGGTCAAGAGAATCCTGGATCGATCGGGAAGGAAGCAATTTCTTTCTTCGAGGAAGGTCAATGGAGAGGTCATTAAACTGTTCTCGTTTAGTGACCGTTTCACCACACCTAAAAAACAAACATGCTTATGCAAGTCTGATGAAAAATAAACTTAATGACAACTCACATGTTTTAGGGTCAAGTAACTTCCCAGTAAATATATGCTTCTTGATCATCTTAATTTTACTCATCAAAATGGAACTGTTTAATGCTTATGACAAAGTTGGATCTTGGAATTTCTTTTTGATCCTTTAGAAGCTGAAACATTTGTGTAAGGATAAGAACAAAAACCCTCAGATTGCTTTGGAGAGGCAAGTGATCAGGTATACTCTAAGTGACTGCTTTGTAGCCAAACACCTCTTCTTTATTCACCATTCTTTGGAGAAAAGAAGTGAGACCAGCCCAGCAGAAGGGCAAGCCTCGAAATACTTTCAAACTGTTCTTAGAAACCAAATAATAAAGTCCACCTAAAAACCCACACCAAACAAAACCCCCTCTTTTTTCTTGTGCTTTGGTTTAAGGGAAAAATAAAAAACCACCATACAGTAATTTGTCTTCCACAAGTACATGCACTTTAATTTTTTTATGGAACTAATGAAGTATACACAAACTAATATTCCCAAATATCTGTGTTCATAAAAACTCTGAAATGGAGCATACCATATGGAAATCTACTGCACAGGTCATATGCAATGAATGCCCAGACATACTGGTTTACATCTTTCTCTGCTATAACATAGAAACGCAGAAGAAAATGCCATTCCCTGGAAGGCCTTAGGAAGAACAAATTAAAAACATGGCTTCCCTTTTTTTTCCCCCTTTTTTAAAAAAAAAGAATTTTCAGCCATTACTTGGCTGAAACCCTCTTTTCTCCCTATTCTTATACAACTGGTACACAATGAGCAAAGCACAAAAGTTTTCCACTGGATATTTAATGAAGAACTAGGGGGTATGAGACTGTTCAAAGAAGGCCTGTAGCAGCAGACAGTATGGTGTGAGCTTTACAGCATTTCCAGATGATAGGATATTTTTCTAAATATCTAGCTTTGGATAAAACATAGTTCTTAATTCTGGCTATAACCTGCAGATGAAGTCACATCACATGGGAACACTTCCTAGTCTTTTGTGACAAAAGCTGTCAAGCACACTTACATTTTGCAAATGATAGAGTGCTGAACCTCAAACTCCAAGTTGCTGATAACGGGACATGTATAAACTTTGGTGGCTGAGAGGTCATCAGAAGCTCGTCCTGGTGAGTTTTCCTCATTAGGGGCTGGTTCACTCTTCCAAGTTTTGTTTAACTTTTCCATGTCTTCCTTCAGCTGATCCAGACACTGGCTCAAGAACTCATGTGCATCCTAGACACCAGGTCAATGCAACAAAGTGATTTTGTACAATTTCATTCAGTATCTTTTCTCAAACACACACAGACTGGGGAAATTACGTTTAGTTCACTGCTTTCACCAATACTAAGGCAGTTCTGCTCTAACAAACAGCAGCAATCACTGCCATTCAATTAAAAGCCCGTGTCACTGTCAAATAGAGTTGAAGCTTGACAGACGTTCAAACCAGTCCAAACACTGAACAAATTACACGTACCTGTTTCCAGGCAATATGGTACTTACATTCTGCATGTACCCAGAAAATCTCTCTGCAGTAGCTGAAATGGCACTTTTCACCTTCTTGAGCAGCTCTTTCTTAACCTCAGGGCTGCAGACATCCTTTTTAGCAAGCAGATGGGCAAAACGTCTGCAGAAGTCAAGGCAATGAAACACTGATTGGTTTTCCAGGACTTCACAGAAACGAAACAGAACTCATGATACCTCCTTTTAAGAGTTTCTAAAAGCTTTCCTCCTGTGATAAGTGGTTCAGGTGTTCTGTATGAAAATATCCCATATATAATTAACCTTTTCCATTTCAAGTACTTTGAGATCTCATTTGAGGCCATCATCAAACAGGACCCAAATGACCAAAAAAAATATAACCACAGTTTTTAAATGTAAAGAGAAAAGCTTTATGAAGTTCTAAAAACTTATTTCTGCTCTATCTTTCATGAGAAACAACCCCCCGGCAATGCTTCTTGAAAACATTTCCACTGATGGAAGATACGAAATCACATGGGAGCAAAATCAGCAATATAAAATCATTAAATTCAACTTGCATTTTCAGAACAATTTCTATTTATGTTTTATTTTTGAACTTCCACTCAGTTTCAAGCCTTGGTTCTTTTAGCATTAAAAACATTACAACAGAGTAGAAAAAAGCTATAACAAAAAGAGCCATGAGGAGATCCTTGGTTCAATCTATGGATAGCACTTCTTGTAGCTTTGTTAAAAACCTGCTGAAATTGACTTTACCTGTGCCTCTCAGCTAACTGTGACTTAGTTATCTTTTACAACTGCTTTACAATTTCACAGGAAATATACACTGAATATATTCCAAGCACAAGTTTTGGTCATGCTAGATACCCGAGAAGGTGATAGGAAGATGTCACATTCCAGGAATTTAAAAAAAAAAAAACAAAACAACCCAGAGTTTTTTTTGTGGGCAGAGAAAACCTGTACAATGCCCTTGCACACCAAAACAACAACTAATACTCAGTTTCCCAAAGAATCTGGTCAGTTCACTGCAGCTCAACAAGGTTCTGCTATTCTGCTGAGCTCCAGGAACAGAGTGTGCTGCCCTCACCCTCTACAGCTGCTCAGTGAAGCATGTTAGGAAACCACAGTGCAGTTGGTAGGCAATCACTGTTCAACCACAAAACCAACCATCAGGTTAGATGATACACCCAAACCATAAGAAGCCCAAGTAGATGCTTTGAGCATCAACTCTGACTTGTACTCCAGCACAGGATCACACACTGCCCTCCATCAGAGGATCCACAGCACAGGCAGTACCCACCCATTAGGTATGAGGGGCACAACCTACAGGGGTCTTTCTACAAAAACTAGGGAAAGGACATTTCTAGAGGCAGGTGGAACAATCTCTGATCCCAAGTAGTATAGAAAGAGTTCAAGAGGACACAGCAAAAATAGAAATTACCCCGAAAGATATAAAAAACTATGAAAAAGAAATGGTTCTTGTAATCCTGCATCTTAGTGACAGAAAAGAAACGAGGTACACAGGAACAAATACAATAAAAATCCCAAATGGCAGAGATGGGGGTATGTGCAGCAAACAGCAGCTTGTCTTTCTGACAGGTGTAAAATGGAAACTGAATGGCACAGCAGTTCAAAATTTCAAAGAGAAAAGAGAGATGGATATATTGCAGAAACCTTTGGAGTTTCTTGATGTGAGGTGTGACTGAATTAAGATCTCAGCTGAATTTAGAGACAGATTAAGTATGCAAAACTTGAGCACTTTCCACAGCTACTAAACAAAGAAATTTTTCCAAAAAGGCATAAGCCCTCCTATACCAGGTGAAGTTAGTGAACAGCTTAAATCCTAGCTGGCAAAGTTTTAAAAAGAAGGGTTTTTTACATCTAATTTATTTTGCAATTTCTTACATTTTCTTCTGAAGCACTTCACTCTGCCACTAGAAATACAGTAAAGAAGGCATGTAACTCACTATTACAAGTTTTAAGAGCCTACTTCCTATTTCAAAAGTAAAGCTCCAAAATATAGAGAGCTCTAGGATTCCTTTTATTATCTATACATGCAAATGACCCTCTATAAAGGTGCCTCAGAATTACAAAATCAGTTTCTCAGTAATGAAGGAGAAAAAAGCCTTACCAGGAAGTGAATTTTACCTGATAAGTGCATTGAGTGGAATTTTTTTCCAGGGGATACCCTGCTTGAGCAAATCATTAGCAAAAGACTGAATTGAAAACAAGGACTGTAGAATGGCATTCATATAGCAGGTGTTCCCCAAGTTTGAAAATCTGAAAAAAAAAGAGTAAAATGAAACATGTTATGTTTAATGATTGATGCGCAAACTTGCCAGAGTTAAACACGGCACTACTAACATGTAGGACGTTCACCACAGTTGATTCTCACAGAGCTTCTTATTGGAGCTGTTCCCCAGCCCTTCAGACTAAACTGAAAACACATGGGAGGCAGCATTTACCAGGAAAGCAGCCACGGGTTTCTACGATCAAACTTTTAAAAAATGTGTATATATACATAAAGACAAAGAAATGAACCATCATTAAAGGAATGTGAATTATCCAAAATTATTTTATCTCTAAAATTCTCAAGAAGCGATTTCAAGAATACTTCTCCTCCAAAATCAGAAAAGTGTTCCCTGTCTCAGTGTTCAATAATTTCAGGATTATTTTTTAAATTAAATAACTCTACCAAGAAGTGTGCATGCTAGATAAAGAAAATTAAATTTACCCTTGCAATTGTTGTTGAGGGTGGGTGGAAAGGGGCACTCGGGGTTTGTTCCAGCCTGTGTAATCTTGATTAGATCTCATTTTTTTAACAGAAAGAGGGGCAGGCTGAGAAAGAAATCCCAGGCTTCTTTTGGCTGAAGAGGTCTGGCTGGATACAGTAGACCTAAAAACATAAAAAGATAAGAATGGTGTGATTTCTAATGCTCTGCCTTGAAGAACTATAGTCACTGGAATTGCATCACCATAGAAGACAAGGACTAACAAAGCCACACAAAATAACTGGCATGTATCATACTGAAATACAGGTTTGAGAGAGAGAATTTCTTTCCAGAGCACTTAAATACTTAGCTTGGTTAAACTTCCTTACATCCACAGGCGTGGAAACAGTGTAACCAAGTCTTTTGTCTTTTAGATATTTAACAATTCTCCACACTGTATGATGAGAGGAAGAATGATTACATAGCATGAGATCACCACTCCCAAGATATGCTAAAAATTCACATCTGGGCCAGCCAGAGTCTTCATTATCAGCCTCTTGTTCTTGTAACCTAATCACTCTGGACCACAGTTCCTTACATTCAAAGTATGGACAATGCCTCTTTTCTTCTTTAATCTTGTATCTCATCTCTCTAAGGCAGAGATCGAGAGTTTGATTGCACAGCACTGAACACAGAAGAATCCCAACCTCAGCAGGCTTCAGTACTACTAAAATACTTAAAATATAGAATTGCATGCCATTTATCTAAGTGGGAAAAATGAAAACAAGGATTTAGACTAAGTTTCAGAGTTTATATATAATTTGAACCATCTAGAGTCATCCATAATGACTATAACAGACTTGGGTGATTTTATAAAGTCTACTGCAAGCAGTAACTAGAGTTTGTAGACGTAACCAGTGCAATTGTAGCCACACAGAATATCTAGATCGCACTCCTGAAGGAAAGAAAACAACAAACCCATGTTATGCATATATGCACCATATAATCACCAACACACATGAAACTGAAGAGCCTAACTCCTCGGAAACAACTGCCATTTGCTAGTGAATCAGTCCTACCTGTCCAGGGTGGAACTGCCAGTGGAGTACTCTTTTGAAGAGGACCGACTGCTGTAAAAAGATGACGACTGCAGTGGTAAAATACCTTTAAAACAGAAAGACAGGCAGGACATTTTGTTCCAGGTTACACAGTTACTTATACAATATACAACTTGTTTGAAAGTATTTAGTCAAAAGGTCTAAAAATCCTCGAATATTGTTTTCCAGAATTGGTTGGGTGACTGCTAACACAAGTACTAATGTGAATATTAATCACATGTAAGTAAAAACATGCTGGAGTTTTAATTGAATTTAATACCATAATCTCCATCAAAGCCCAAGTGCAACATGAAATATTAACAAGTCTTTGAATGGTCTGAACTACTTGAAAGTTAATAACTATCTGACTCCTGTTCAAATAGACAAAGATATACATAACAGAAAACTCAGTACTAATTTCCAACACAGTGCTCTCAAAATTCAAGGTAAATATGCAGAAGTGAAAACAGCTTCTCTTCCCACTCCCAACTGCATTGTGTATTACTATATACTTGGGGCAAAATATGACTATTCCATTGTTATGATATCATTGTGCCAGATCCTGAGACTCTAATGCCTCAGACGGTGCCACATAAAAAAAAATGCTCTCAAGAGTCAAAAAATCACCTATTACGGTGAATCACAGGGTAACTTGGTTTGGATAATGAACAATCATTTGCTTCTCTCCCAGCTTGAGGTGGCTTGAGCCATGCAACTTTCAGAGATGCAGATATATGAAGGAAGTTTACAATACTGTTACTGAAACTTGTAGGTATATTCTAGACTCACAGACTTTAACTCTGACTCTTGAAGAGCAAACCAGATTTTCATCCAGAGGTAAACATTCACCTTACTGGCTGCTCCAGCAACTCATTTGTGCCCTCAGAGCTGCACTAAAAAAAGAATGCATCCACTAGCACTCTCCAAAAAATAAAGATCTTCAATGCATTTGTTTTTATGGAGAAAGAAGCTAAGTATTTATTCATAAAATCAAAGAACAGTGCTGCTTACTAGCTTATCTACATACTGTCAATATTTCTGTATTGTCTATAAAGGCTTCTCACACAACAGAACTTTGGTACAAACAGGATTGAAGTACTGGCCTAAAAAAACTCCCCCTGTAACTTCTAGGGAAGATATAAGGAAGCAAAAATAAACAGTAAACCATAAAACCAGAGACAAAACAGCCTACAGTTCACTTAGGCATTAATAGCAAAGGGAAGCTTTAAAAATAAACAAGAAAGAAAGCAAAAAGGAAATCCTTAGGTGTTTACAGAAATTCTCTCTCAAGGGGAAGGGCAGTTTGGAGCAGAGTTTGAAGCTGCTTGTTTGGGCTGGCATCAGCACCCAAGAACAAAGGTCATGGCCACATTAGAGCAGGACAGGCTTTGAAAATGAAGGCAAGTTGTTTGGGTCACATGTATGACTCTGAAGGAAGCAGGAAAGTTAGTGGCATAGAGAAAACAGATTAGGTAAAACCACTTCTGCAGCAATTTGCTAAACCAATATCAAAGAGGTAAAATCATACTGGTCAAAGGTAGGTATCATTAGGCTTTACTTTCATTTTTTTTACCTGATGTCCTATTTTCCTCAGCCTGCTTCAGATTCAACTGTTTCTCTCTGCTACTGTTCAAGTACTTCCATGCTGGATCACTCAAGGCTTTATTATTCCTGCAGAGAGAAGTGTGGAAGGCAGGGCAGTTATGGAAGACATGGGATATTCCTGCTTGATATTTACAACTTTTTTTAAAGCATTTCTCTCCTATCATCTTTGATACTTGACCTTGGAACAGCAGAACTTCACTCACAGGTAAGTTTAGCCAATTAATTTAAACAAGCCCTCTTACTCACTTTTAAAACACACGGAGCTTATTCTCCAAAGGGCAATTTCCCTTTATCAATTTTGTTTTGCAAAGGGTCAAAGGAAGTTCAATAAGGAAGGTACCTGTTGCTATACAAATATAGCACAAGACAATCCTGACATAACTGACTAAAGAAAGATGACACAAAATTTGCATGTGGCACTTCCTGCAAATCCACTGCTAGAGTAGTTTGTATTTCCCTTATTAAACCTGAACACATCCCTCATATCAGCACCCAATGTGTTCACAAGTTGACTGGCCTGTACCCTGTGGCTGAGGGTGTTCTTTTCCGAAAAACGTGTCCTTATAAATGAACAAGGAGTTTAAAAATCAGAAACAACTGTTACTTACGTTGAAGAATCATTCTCTTTGGGATAATCTTCACTCATTTCCGAACCAGGAGGTTGTGTTCTTTTCCTCTTCTCACTGACGACAGAAAAATTTGCAAAGTGGTCATTCATTCAGAAAGGTTAGTAAATTACTCTCTTCCAAGTTAACACAACTCCTCGATGCTTTCCATGCATTTTGGACCCATCTTCTGCAATCTCCACTTTTATAACATACAGAGAAGAATCTGGCCTGCCTGACTCTTAAGTTGTACTTAAAGCTCCAGTGCCAGTACCAGTCAGAGGCTACAAAAGCATGTGTTAGAAAGTAACAGCAAAACTAGAGGAAGAAATACCTTCCCTTCTTACATCTCAGTGTACTGAGTTCTACAGCTCTATGAAGAGCTAAATTTTAACAATATCACAATGAGAATAATTCTCCTACCGATTCTCCAACAAGCCCGTTCTGTGAGGGACCGATGATGCAGCAGATGCAGAAATGTTCACCCTGTTGCTTGGTGTTCCAGCTCCAGGAGAATTCTTAACAGAGCCCCTTGCTGGGGTGCCCAGCACCTTGCGAAATGTATTTTCCTCCTTACTTTCCACGGTCACTCTTTTAGGAGGAGTCTGCAAAACCCAAGTGGAAGGGCCCGAGGAGACGACCCAAGAGTGAAAAACAGGACCATTTAGTCCAAGCTATAATTTACACCACTGCTTTGATTGCTACAGTGTAGCATCCAAGAGAAGAGACATGCTACCTCTAATAGATTCAGACAGTTTAACACTAACCAGACACAGCTAAAGTTTTGACTGTATCAGGCAACTCCTAAGCATGAAACTCTATTGCAGTAACCACTTTCCTTTTCTAATGCTAAGTCAGCTGAACTTTAGCTTTTAAAATCTCCTTTACAATCTTTGACACTAGGCATGACCCAAGGCATGATTCCTAACTATCCCCAGATCAATCTTGGGTTGTTTTATGAAAGTTTTTTTAATAAAAAAATTAAAAAGCAGTATTAAACCCCATCTAATTAAAACAATGCCCTGACAGCCTTGGGCCAAGCAAGCCTCATGTGTAATACAATGGAAAGGGCTAATAATTGGTTGACTAAGGAATGTTGTTCAATCTTAGACTGAAAACTAAACATGTCTAATCTCACCAATGTATACACAGCCTTAAGTTTTTACTGTGAGATTGCCTTTAAGCAACACGTAAAATTTGTTTTGGAACAACGTCAAAAATAATCTCTTTCAGAGCAGTAATATAAGTATATTCACAGAGATAAAGTAAATTAAAGCTGGTAGATACTGGGTAGAAAAGGAAGAACAAAAATATTTTGAAAGAAAACCACTTCCGGGGAAAAGTCTGTGAAATTTACATAAAAATGTGAAGAACTGAATGCTACAAATTCAATAACTCTATTCTGATACAAAGTTGGGTCAGCAGCTTTTTGATACACATTTGGCTGCAGTCTGCTAAACTCATTAAGACCTATTGTGACTAACACATGGTTAGCTGATATGTAAGGTGTTCAGCATAAAAAAAAGGGAGATTCAGAACTATGTGAGAAGCAAGTCTTAATCATGTACTTTCCTTCTATTTATGCTTCCTCCCTGCCTGATAGTTTATATGTGAAGAACATATTCTGCCTTCCACAGCCAGACACTGACCTTTCTTACTCATACAGAAGATACGGTTCTTCACAAACAAGACACACCACTGCCAACCACCCTGTACACATTTATTCCAAGCTTTCTAGATTACAAAGGCTTTGGATGCAAAGTAAGTATTTACAGTGCTATTACAACGTACAATAAGAGAATGAGATGGGGAGAGGAATGAAATAAAATCAGAGAGGAAAAATTTGAACACTTAAACAAACCTGGTTCTCTACATAGGAGAATTGCCTGTTAGCTTCTTTCTGTGTGGTTCTGCTGCCCAGCACACCTCCAAAGCTGCCAGATCCTTGAGAGGGTTTCCCAGCTGACAGGAAAAGTACACAATATTTGATTTGCTTGTCATTTAACTGATTGGCATTCCTATTTGTAAAATGCTGTTTAGCTGGAGTTGATTTTGGAAAGGACATGCTAGATTTCTTGCCAACAGACTACAATATTCTGAGTGCACGGATACAAGCACAAGTTTATGGATATTGGTCATTTAGTCACTTGGTAGTAAAGTCCCTATCCTTAAAAAGAGCAAAATGAAATAAGAGGTAAAACGAAAAGCAAAGAGACTGTGCATGTCTGCTAAACAGACAAGAATTTTTCAAATACCATCATACTTACAATATTAACAAATCCTTTATGCTAATCTCTGCTTATTGTTTAGCACAAGAAAGGTACAAAACAAAAAATGGGGTTCAACGCCAGAAAGAAGCATTGATTCAAATGTAAAGAAAGCCAGTAACACAAGGACAAAATGCACAGAAAATGTGTGCTGGTTTCAGCTGGAGTAATTTTCTTCACAGTAGCTACTATGGGGCTGTGTTTTGGATTTGTGCTGGACAACGGTGTTGATAACATAGAGATGTTTTAGTTACTGCTGAGCAGTGCTCCCACAGAGTCAAGGCCCCTTCTGCTGCTCATACCACCCCACCCACGAGGCGGATGGGGGTGCACAAAAAGCTGGGAGGGGACACAGCCAGGACAGGTGACCCCAAGTGACCACAGGGATATCCCACACCGTGCAGCGTCATGCTCAGTATATGAAGCTGGAGACGGAGGAAGGGAGGCACAGTGATGGTGTTTGCCTTCCCAAGTCACTGTTTGCACGTGATGGAGCCCTGCTGTCTTGGAGATGGCAGAACACCTGCCTCCCTGTGGGCAGTGGTGAATGAATGCCTTGTTTTGTTTTGCCTGCATGCACAGCTTTTGCTATACCTACTAAACTGTCTTTGTCTCAACCCACGAGTTTCCTCATTTTCACTCTTCTCACTGTCTTCCCAACCCCACTGGGAAGAATGAATGAGCAGCTGTTTGGGGCTTAGTTGTTGTTGGATATGGTTAAACTGTGATGATAAAAAAAACCAAACGAAACCAAAACACAATACTGCTCCACTCCAAACTGCTACAACATGATTTACAACAACTGCACTTACCAGTATGAACCCTGTCTTGATGGACTGCATCCAAATACATCCGCATTTCATTTGCATCCTTAACTGGTACCTTATCAATAGTCAGGAAGCTGGTATCCTTTAGTGTTAGCATCAGGCAGCACAGCTTTCTGCCATTCGGTCGTAAGGTCACAGTTTTAATGTTATGGCTTAGCTGAAAACAAGAATGTGACCATAAAGATAAATCCAATTTTAAAAGGCCAAAATACTTAGAAATTCAAACAAAGTACTTAAAATACAGAGGGTAAGAGACACTCGCACCAAAATACTTCTTGCTCCACTTCAAGCAAACATTAAACCTCACAGAATTAATGCAATCTGTGACCTGGGCATCTGACAGAACTGAAAGGACAGTATCACTATCTATCACTCAACAGTCTCTATGCTCCTGGATAAGCTTTCTGAAACTTGCTTTCCTATTGAGTGCGGTATTTCTGAACATATAGGAAAAACAACTTCATAAAGTCCCATTTTGCTAAAACTTCCACATCAAGTTTGAAATATAATTTCAGATGGGGAAAGTTTCAAATGTTAAATACAAACTTCTACTCACTTTACAATTTGCTCTCAGCGAAAACCGATTTGACATGGCTTCAAAAATTTGCTGGGGCAGTAAGTCAGTAAGAAACATGCTTAGTCTGTATGCAACATTATAACAATTAGGTGGTGTCAATCCTTTCAGGATTATGGATAAGCATAATTTTAGTAAGAGTTCGTTCTCCCTAATGATGCCACTGCTACTTTATTATAACTTTACTTAATTGTTACTTCGTGCTAAGTCACCTCTAAGAATTGGCAATTGGGTAAAGGCTCTACTATCCACTCAGGTTGAGGGTAACTCAAAAAGACCAAGATAGTACAAAATGTTCCATTGTCCACCAGTACAATTTTTTTTTTTCCACTAAGATCTCTAGCTTCTTGGAAAACCAACCTAGACACAACAGGAGCTTGTAAGAGAGGCTGGTAAGCCACCTGAATCAGGAACTGAGGGTTGGTTTTGCTGGGAACATTCTACTTTGTGTTCAATCCTTGTATTTTGGGTTGTTTTTTTGGGGGTGGGGTGTCGGGGGTTTGTTTGGTTTGGGTCTTTTTTAAATATAAGCTAAAAAATGTCTTCAAAGACCTAAGAATTGAATAATGGACTCCCAAGTTTTTCACCCTCTCTTAAAATATTGAGCCCAGTGCAAAGGTATTACAGTTACTTCACCATCTCAGTGCAACCCATTTCAAGTCAGAATGTTGTCATGAGAGGACTCTACCTCTACTCTTCATGCACTTGTCAGTGTCACAAAGTCTTGGGAGGTGGGGTAAACAAACTATTTCTCTTAATACAGATCTAGCATCTCGGAAAATAGTAGTCAGAGCTCTGAAACTTTATTAAAACGTATCATCTGATGTAAGAATTTGATGACACACCAGTCAGTGTAGAAAGAAATATAACCCTGGATCCATCCAAATGTTCCATTACAGAAAACTAAGAAGAAAGACAGGGAAATCACCCACAGTTCTCCCAGAGCAACTTGTCAAAAACCAGGGAATGCTACTTCTAAAGCCAGATTATCAGGAATTTGGCACACCTGAAGTGCGTGTTGACAGTCTGGGGCCAGCTCACAGAAGCTACACGAGCCTGCAGCGCAGGGGGCAGGCAGCTCTCCCTGCCTGCTGCTGGTTCCCAACAGTGCTCTTGTGCCAGTGCCCCTGTGGCTGATGGATGAATGGGACCAGCAAGCAGGTCCTCATGAACAATAACCACCATCCAAACAAAAATAATTGGTCTAATGATGCACCATTTCCTCCTCTTCCTTTGCTGCAGTCTTGGCTGCACGGTGCGCTATCACCCCCTCCACTACGTTCTGCACTCAGTCCTTTCCCCAGATTTACATGAAAAGCCTTCTCCGAGCTCACAAAGGGATCTGACAAGTGCCACAGACAGCAGATGTGCGAAAACTTGCCCCTCTAGGCCATGGTTGTCAGTTCTGTAGGCTTATCCTCCCCCTGGAACCACCCTTCCAGTCACTGTCACAGCGCATCATTCATCCGGGCAGAAAGGAGTATGTGAGAACGAGCATCCAGGGAATGCTTGAGTGGAGGAAGAGAACACCCTCCTCAGGAATAACATGGTCCAATGCTGGATTAAAAAAAACCTTCAGCCACAGCATCACACACGAGAAGGCAGATGATTCTTTTCAAGTCTCCAGCAACAGAGGTGGGGTCATCCCCAGCTAATGATTTTCTCATGCCTTGATTTCAAGGTAACACAAGCCTCCAGATTCTTTGCTGAGACTTTTCAGCACACTGAGGCAGCAAAACCTAATCTTTCAAAAATGAAGTGAACTTTTCTCCACAGCATCCACACAGAGAAATAAATGGCTCAGAGAAAGGCTTGGTGAACTGATAAAAAACAACAGTGGCACGAAAAAGCAGAAGCCAACATTTAGGTCAGTTGAGGCTGTTGCAAAGTTGCTAAATAAGATGGGAATTTTTTTTTATTCCAACTGCTCTTGTATCCTTTACATATCTTTAAAACATTATATACTTCTTAGAGAAAAAAAAAACACTTCCCTTTTGGTTTGGGGCATTTTTTTCAGAGAAGCTAGGAAGCCTGGACTGAAAATAACTATAGAATGAGAAAAATTTAGGCTGAATATTTCAAGAGAACCTTTAACAGTGATCTGTATCTGCATTTAAAACCGAAAACAGTAACAACCACTGTTCAGCAGAGCCTTGTATAAACAAGCAACAGGCTACCAGTGTATTAACAACATTACACTTCAGTTGGGAAAGCAGCAAGTACAAAGTGTTCAGGATCTTCACCTCCAGATAAGGCAAATGTGTCAGTAACAGAAAGGTTACAGGTTCCAAAAATCTGAAACATGATCCACAATGCTGTAGACTTTAGTAACTTCTCTCTGCCTTTTTAGTTCTTCCCATTCAGTTGTATCTTGATGCCCATCTTGGCAGATCCTTTAACTGTACTTGTAAATAATTTACTGGAGAGCTACACAAAGGGATTAGTGTTCAGGAAAGGAGGAACAAGAAACAGTGACAGAGGGAAGTTGGTGTGACACTTAATAGCTTTGAAGAGGACAGCTGTTCGCAAGAGAGCACAATCCACGCACTGTTAAAACAAAAGCCTTAATATTTGGCATACCTGAAACGTCTTTGGAATTCCTCCAACATTGTAGTGAACTACTAAACTCACTTTGTTGTCCTTCTCCACAATTTCAAAGCTCCCTTCTTTCCATTTTGTAATCCCGGTCTGCATGCTGCGCATCCGGACAGGTCCGTGGACCTTTAACAGAGCCATGCTCTCTCACGGATAAGAATTAACAAGAACAAATGTGCTCCGCCTGAAAAACCTGTTAAAAGGGAGAAACGGATAACTCGGCAGGCCAAACAGTGGCTAAAGAGAGACAGAAGCGTGGCTTGAACATTGCACAGGAGTTTAGTAGAACCGTTTTACTGCCACTTTTAAACACAGCGAAAAAGAGCTGGACAGCAGTGAAGGAAACTTAGATTAACAAAATCTCCCCCCATTTGGGCAGCAGTTCACTGATTCTTCACTGCTGAAAGCTGAGCAGATACAACTCCAGACACAAAACTCCCCGAAAAATCCTTTAAACAACGCCAGCGGATTTAAGTGAAGGAAAAGAAAGCGACCAAAGAAAGTCGGTAAGAGACGGGAACCAAAGCTTCGGAGGAAGCGCAAGAGGGAGAGAGGGAGCTCCTTTCGGACGGTGCTGCACCCACGGGCAGCCGGCGGTGGATCTCCGGCTCCTCCCGCTTCCCGCCCGGGAAAGCTCCGGTGCGAGGCACAGTCCCGCAGTCCCGGGCAGCTCGGCGGAGTGCATTCCCGGCAAAAACTCGACGGAATGAATGGAGCGGGCCCCGCGCTCAGCCGGGGCGGCGCTACCGGGGAGGATCCCCGGGGCATCCCGCAATCGGCTCGGCTCGGCTCGGCTCGGCTCGGCTCGGCCCGGCTCGGCCCGGCTCGGCATGGCGGCCCCACTCCCCTGCGGACCGGACCTCCCTTCTCTCCCCCCCCTCGCCCGCCCGCACGGGGGACACGGGGAGCGCCGCCCGGGCCGGGCCGGGCCGGGCCGGGCCGCTCTGAGAGGAGGCGGCACCGCGCGGCGGGAGGGGCGCGCAGCCGGGGGAGCGGGAAGAAGGAGGAGGAGGAGGAGGCTAAGGAGGAGGAGAGGGGGGGTCCCGGTCCTTGCGGTACCTGCGGTGCAGGCGGGTCCGGGCAGTCCCGGTGAGGCCCGGTGGGGGCGGGGCCGGGGACGGATGGCGGGAACCGGCGGCGGCAGCGGCGCAAGACGCCGCGCGACGCGCGCCCGCTCACGTCAGCGCGGCGGCGCCTTCCCGGCGCGCCCTGCGCGCGCGCGCCCGCCAGCGGCTCGCGCAGGCGCCGTCCCGCCCCCCCGCTCCCGGCGTGCCCCGCGCGGAGGGTGAGGGGTCGCGGCCGCTCCGGGCCCGCGATGGCGGCCTGAGGGGACACTGGCACCGGCACCGACCATGCACAGCCTGGCCACGGCCGCGGTGAGCCGCGGGACGGCGCTGGGGAGGAGCCCCGCTGGGCGGGGAGCGGGGGCGAGGCCGCTGGTCGCTGCGAGGGGCCGTTCCCTCGCCCTCGGCCGGAGCGCGGCGGGCGGAGTTGGACTGGCGGGGCGGCGGAGCCTCGGGGAGCTCCGGCCCCGCGGGTCTCTCTGGCAGCATCCTCGCTCCGGCCGCTCCCCCGGGGCTTCTCCGGGCTGGGCTCTGCTCCTCGCGGGGCCGCTTGCCTCGTCCGAGGGTTTCCCGCTGGGGGTTCCGGCTCTGCCTCCTCCGCCTGGTGTGCATCGCGTAGGGCTTTCCTCCCTCCCTGCGTCTGGGGGGTGCCTCTTGTCGCGAATGAGTGCTCTAAGGTCGCTTTAAAGAATCGCCAGCAATGATATCGACAAAAGCAGGTTTAATGTAAGAGCAGAACGGTGACAAAGTTTGTTGGCTCTACTGCTTGCTGGCTGGTTAAAGTACAGGGAGAAAAAGCAAGCAAAAATCTAAAATCAATTAATCAATCTACAACCAAAAATTAACCCCAAAAATTATTAGCGAGGGGGTGGGTGAGGAAGAAAAGGGTAAGGATAATAAGGAAGACCCTCACAAGGTTCAGGATAGACCCCTTCTTACATTGACCTTTAAACACTCATTCACAACAGCTCCTGGGTGCCCACCCACCTCCTCTGCCCCCTGGGGAGCTGTTTTACTTCTGGCCTTGACTGCAGAGGGAAAGAGGAGGTAAGGAAAAGTACTTCAAGGGCAGTAGGTGAGCCGGAGGAAAGGCAGAGGCTGGCTGTTTTGCTTCTCTTTTCCTGTAGGCGGTGCTTGCTCCCACCCCCCTTAGGGAACTGCCAAGGTGGGATGTGGTTCCTGATGTTCAGGCTGGGAGGAGTGGAACTGTGCCTTGGCCTGCGTGGGTTCAGAAAGGGAAGCTGAGTTTGAGGGATGTGGTTGTTGTCTCGGATCTCTCACCTGAGTGGGTTTGTGGTTTGGTTTTCACTTCTCCAAATGCACCTTCGTGGTGCGTGTGAGACTTCCTAGGGCTGACTGTGTCTTGTGTGTGCTGGGTGTGGGAAGGGTATTGCAAAACCAACAGTCAGAGCTGTTTCAAGTGAACTTAGCTCAAGGGTCACTAATAAGGTGATGAGCGAGCCAAGTTCTGATGAACGGGAGTTGAGAGAACTGTTTAAGTTTTCCCACTTTGTTCAGGTGGTCGTGACTTTAGCTGGTTCCTGGAGTGCTGACAAATATTCTGATTTAAAGTAATGCTTTCCAGAGCACGGAAGGGTGTGCAAGATCATGGTGAACTCTCTTAATGAGCATTTACATCTTTATAGCAATCTGATTCTGAAGTGTTTGTTGAAATGCACAAAGGACCCCCATTATATGTATCTCCCATTAATCTGCTGTGTATATTCTAGCCACCTCTCTTTTTTTAAGACAATATTAAAAAAAAGTTTGCATCAGGAATAGAGATCAGCTTTATTTCAGGACTCACTCGAATGCATGTTTAATTTATACAGAGTTTATGCTACCAGGTAGTCCTGTACTGAAATATTTCCTACCACAGTTAGTTAATTGGGTTAGACTGAAGGTGACAGGGAAGGGAGTTTGGCTCTGGAAATTTGCTCAGGACCTGTGGTAACAAGCTGTAAATAGCTGTAAGGCATTGAAAGCTCAGCTCCAATCACCTGATTTGCTGCTATGGAAGTTCAAAGTTCATTTGGGTATTTTTAAGCAGATGATCTGTCAAGATAGTTGAAAAAGCACATGTATCCAGCTAGTCAGTGTTCTGCTTTTGCTGACCAGTACTTCTACCAGTGTGCATAGCAATAACTGCTCTGTTAGAAAGAAAAGCCATTTGTGTAAATATGTTTGTTATGTGATTGTTGGGGGTGTAATCAGGCACGGATGTTTGAAGTAATGTTTTTTCTGTTGAGGAAGGTGTTACAAGGTATTTCACGGTGTGCAGGGATGGCAAATTTGTGCTGTGGTGCTGTTGGTAAGTTCCACTTTCCCCTGTGTTCAAAAGAAAGTCTGCCTGGCAGGGTTCTGTCTTTGACCTTGCAGGTTTTATGTGGCCCTCAGGGTTCCCCAGAATTTTGGGTTCTAGAAGAAGGAACAGCAATGAAGTAGGAAATTAGGAAAAAATATGTCTTTCTGTTTAAACTAAAGTGAAAGGAGCAATTGTAGAGCCTGTGAAAAGCAGTTTGTTCTGGCTAAGGCAGATATTGGACATCATAAACTTAATTGTGTGGAAAATCTACTTAGTGTTCTCTAGGGATCACAAGCACATGATTGTGCTTTTAAAGGGTCGATGTATTTAAGCTTACAGGAACTGAAACTTCCAGTGAGTCTAGAAAAACAGATGGAAGCTTTAGATAATGCCGTTGTAACAACATTATTGCTACACTGCTTGTCACTCCACCATCCCAAATAAAAACAAATGAGCTGTGTGGATTCCCCTCTTTTTCAGCTTCAATGTAAAAGTTGCCATTACACTCACGGCTGTAAGGGCACAATAAACTTGTTAGGATTTCTAATTTAGTGTGAGATTTTGCAAAAAAAAAAAAAAATTAAAATTGAGTAGATGAATGTCGTGGTTCTGGCCAGGACAGGGTTAATTTTTGTAGTAGCTTGGAGGCAGAGGGGGGAACGAGTGAGGCTTGTGGTTTGGAGTGGCTTCAGTGGAAGCACTAAATTGGAGAATACTATTCCTACAACAGTGAGAAAAAAAAGAGGATGAGAGGAAAGATGAACATCTGAAAGGTATTTGAATTCTTGATTACAGGGATTGATAACACTACATTGGCTTATATATAGGCATTAAGGTTAAATAATATGATGAAAATGGCTGGGGGAGAGAGAAATCCTGTAGCGGGGGAGGAATCTCTTTGGACATGACTATGGATTTAAAATGGGGATGAACAGAGGAGGGAAACCTTCACAGAAATAGAGACAGAAAGCTCTGCCGGTGTCTGCCAAAGCTTAAGAAGTCTCTCCATCCCTCCAGTAGTTCTGGTCCTGCCTCTGCCATGTGGCTTCAGGTTTGGTTCCAGTCACTTTCAGTTCCTGAGCTGCCTTGCATTCTCTTGTGTCTCTTGGTGATGAACTGCTTGGGGGTAGCGTTGCTGTCATTGCAGTACAGGATCTGCTCACATCTGTTGTGGTGAGCGCCTGACGAATTTCAGTCAGGGTTAAAAAACAAAGAAGGAAACACAGTCCTGTTCCCATCTGGGATCGCTGGGCACAGGGGGATGGTTGCACATGGGCTGGCTCAGGAGCAGGAGTGAGAGAAACTTTCACTGGAAGGCTTGTACCTTGCCTTCTCCACAGAAACTATGATACAGTCTCTCTTTTCCTCCCTATTTTTTTTGTTTTGAGAACTTGTTTGCCTGGATTGTACTTTCTTCCTGATGTTCCAAGAGAGGCAGAAGAGAAATCCTGGATTTCTCCCAAGTAGTAGAAAATGGGTCTTGATTATGAATACAGATCTACCCTTCTCTGGGATGAATATGAAACATTGGGAACAGTAGGTGTTACTGGCTGTGACCCCTGTCATGCTGGTATTGGAGTAGTGAGAATTTTTCTATTATTTGTATGAATGTTTTTCTCATGTACATTGGGTGAATCCCATTGGCAATTTCCAGTGTTGTGGGTGTTTTTGGAGGGAAAAAGGTAGCATCTGCTTTACTTTGAATTTGTGGAATCTTGCTCTTGAAGCATGAAATGAATGTGTGCTAAATGCAGGTGGAAAAAAGGATAGCTGGCTGGAATGTGTGTCACACCCTGGGAGCTCTGCTGGCACAGGCAGGCAGCAGCTTGGCTCTCACACTGCTGAATGAAGCTACAAGGTACTGCTTGACAAGAGGATTAAGGGCGACTGTCTCAACAAGTCGGGCCAGAAAGTAATACCTTTGCATTTCCAGTAGGTGAAGTAATAAGACCAATCCAAGGAAGGGATGGATCCATGTCCGGTGCATCTTTAAGAAGCTTTAGTTCCCACCCTCCCAGTCAGGAGTTTCTTCAGAGCTTTTTGGCCATTCTGACAAGCTGTGGAAAGGTTTGGTTGAGAACTGGATAAAATGTTTGGACTGAAGTTTTCTTGTCTCCCTCCCAGCCTGTGCCAACGGCACTGGCTCAGGTTGACCGTGAAAAGATTTACCAATGGATCAATGAGCTGTCCAGCCCTGAGACACGGGAGAATGCACTGCTGGAGCTGAGCAAGAAGCGTGAGTCTGTGCCTGACCTCGCCCCGATGCTGTGGCATTCGTTTGGCACCATCGCAGCACTCCTTCAGGTGGGTCAGACTGCCCGTGGTGCAGCACCAGCACGTGTCAGAGCTGATGTGTCCATGGTGGGGACCTGGGGAGGCACTGCCATTGCTGGGAGTATGATCTATGTTAGATCGTCTGAGGGGAGCAGATGTGGGAAGCTTGTTTACTGTTAATCATCATTAACAAGGTGATGTGTGCAGAGACTGATATTTCTAATTAGACAGCTTACATAGTTGGGAGGGGAATAGGAATGTTCTTGGATGTATGAGCTCCCTGTGGGTCCCATTCTGCTTCTTTTAAAACAATGTTATAGCAGAACCATGAGAGTCTTTCACCTAAGATTGCAGGTTTGGTTTCTTTTGCATGAGTGTACTTTCTGATCAGAAGGTTGCCCTTGCAGGGACCCTGCCTGGAAAGGCAGCAGGGAAATGCTCCTCACTGCTGCAGATACCCTTGCAAGGGAAGGTCCCTGCATTTCATGTGAAACTGAGCAGCTCAGCTTGTTGCTGGGCAAACCACTCTGCAGCTGATGACTGGCTGTCACTCAATGCCAAATCTGGTAATTTCTTTCCAAGGAGGAAAGAAAGAGTGCAGCATTGGCAATGTCAGACTCTTGACTGAGTGGCCCTGACAAGCAAAGAAAATTACAAGGGAGCTGTAGCTGGAAGCAGGCAGATTTCTGAATCGGATTTCTCAACCTCAGCTGCTTCCCCTGCATTGAGTTAGAAGAGTAGGAGCAACTACACTGTGAGCAGAGTGGGTGTCCTCTGCCTCTAGGATGCCTCTTTGATCTGGAAGTTCAAAACAGAGTCTACAGTAATAAAGAGCCAAGAAATCAAATGAACCCTTTGTTTTTTTACTGAAACTAAGGGTTTGCATGCGTTCCTGTGACTCCTTGTCAAATTGGCTGACCCAGCTCTGCCTTTGCCTGGGCAGCATGGTGGCTGCATTGTAACTTCAAAGTGATGCTTGATGAAAGCAGACTGTCATCTGCTGTCACCACAGTCCCTTGCTGGACACATGCTTTGGGGTAACTTTCTGCTATTTTTCTCCTTTAACTTTTCTATCCCTGTTAATTTTTAGGAAATTGTAAATATTTACCCATCCATCAACCCTCCGACTTTGACAGCCCATCAGTCCAACAGAGTCTGCAATGCTTTAGCTCTACTACAATGTGTTGCATCACACCCTGAAACGAGGTAAGCATTTCCAAATGTGTGAGTTTTTGGAGGTGTTGATGTTGGCAGCTCAGCCTGTGTGTTTGACTCCAGAAGTACATAAGCTCCTTTCTCTTTTACTTAGAGAAATGGAACAGACCATAAAGCTGGTAGATGAATAGCTGCCTTCTGCTTTCACTTGCTTGCATGGATTATCAGGATACAGCTTTATGGTGGTCCTAAATGCATTGCATCCCCTGGATCATCCTAAGGTCTTGCAAATTTCCAAAACATTCAATTGTGGCAGCTCTTGGAAGGTCAGCCAAAGCTAAGGGCACCTTTGTGTTGAGTGTGTGTGCAGGATCCTTGTTTAATGAGCTTACATCTATTTAGACAAGCAGCTTACAGTTATTCAGACCAGCTGTTGAAGGGGTGAAATGGGCAGGATTTTCTCAGTCTGTGCTCAGCCAGTGTCAGCAGGGGAAAATATGATGTTGGTTCAACTGAAATCAGTAGCTATCAGGGATCCATAATCTCATGCTTCTATTTTTGCTGAGCAGCAGCATGGCTGAAGTTTTTTTTGAGCTGCTGCAAAGCAGTGTTACACAGCAACCCTCCATGAGATAACCAAATAAATAGGGTAGTTTTACAGTACTCACCTTTACATTTTAAATTTGAAAACAAAATTGAAGAAGTATGTTGGATGACTGTGCAAGGGAGCTTCCCTCCACTAGCAGAGTAATCTCCAGATTTCTCCCTGCAGTCTGTATTTTTCACTACTGCCAGAAGACAGTGTGAAGGCTCTTGGGGAAAAGGTGTCAGTGCACATTTAAACTGGTGATGCCTAGAGTTAGCCACTTGGTATTTCTGTCATGCATTGAGGATGACTGTCCTTACCCCTGAGAGCCTGCAGGGTGAAATGTGACGGTGAATGTACAAAGCAGAGGGTCTGGGTAGCAGGAAGAGGTAATAAAAACAGCAGGGCATGCTCTTTTCCTGGTCAGCTGGAAGCAGCACTGCAGGCAGCTGACAGATCAGGTGCTCTGATCAGGTTTTGTGCTGTGCCCAGTGCAGAATTTACTTCATGCCCTTCTATCAGAGATAGAACTGTTACACACTTTTGAGGAGCAGCAGCAGTGGTGTCCAGCAGCCTGAGGCTCTGTGTGGTAGTGCTGGATTGTATGCTCACTTTGCTTTCCTTGTTGCTCATATTGCGTGTACGCCCTTTCCCACAGGTCAGCTTTTCTGGCAGCTCATATCCCTCTCTTCCTGTACCCCTTCCTGCACACCGTCAGCAAGACACGTCCGTTTGAGTACCTGCGGCTCACGAGCCTTGGAGTGATTGGTAAGCAGCCAGACTAATGCTGGAGCAGTGGTCTCCTGTTGAGTTAGAGCAGTTCATGCACTGGGCAAAGAGATCTGCATGACCAAAGTCGGGGGTCTCTTTGTATTGGCATCTTCCGAGTTCTGTAGTGTTAAGAGGAGCAGCTGCTCCTTTTCCATCAGTTGTGGAGGCAATTCCACTAAATTCTTCTTAATGTGTGGGCTTTTCACTTATAAAAACCCGTTGAAGACTAAATGCAAAAATATGTTTCTGTGAGTACAAGCACCTGCAGACTTGTTATGCCTTCACCCTCAGCCCTCCCAGCTAGACATTGGGATGGGTGGGTGCAGGCTGGGTTTTCTTTGGGTTTCTGTCATTGATTGATTTAGCTTTATTTGCCCTGTCTTCCCCTTAGCCTGTTTTTTTTCTTCTTTCTACCTCAAACCTTTCAATGTGTGAAGTAAGAGGGTCTTAAAATGCACTTTTTTCTCCCCGAGGTTGTTGTGGGTGGCATAAAGCTCTTGTGTTTGTGTTACTGCTGAGGGAGAACCAAGAGTGTATCCCCTTTCTGAAAAACAAACAACCCCCAAACCCAGCTTGATTACTTTTAGGCTGCCAAAATGATTTCTTCTCCAGCTATGCACAGCAACATATTTAGGATGACGGTTGCTCTGCCTGCTGTTCAGACTGAACGGTTCCTGGGGATGGCAGAGCCCAGGCCCTCTTTGAAAGGTGAGATTTTTTGAAACAATTTATTGATTGATTTTTGTCTTTTGTTTCTCCTTCAAGGCGCCTTGGTGAAAACTGATGAGCAAGAAGTCATAAATTTCTTACTGACAACAGAAATTATCCCCCTGTGCTTACGCATTATGGAGTCTGGCAGTGAGCTCTCCAAAACGGTACCTATTTTTTTTGTGTTAATAAAGACTTTTTGTTGTTCATCCCTTACTGACCAGGAGCAGGTACCCTGCAGAGTTGGCTTTTGTCCTGTTGGAAGTGGTGGGACAAGTCTGGGTGGAGTTTTAGCCTTCTCAAAAACCAAACAAACCAAAACCTGAGGCCGCTCTTAAGTGGCCCAGCAGTAGTTGCTGTCTTACGCAACCTGCATCCACTCATTTTGTACACTCTGATTTGTCTCCATCTCTTTTCTTTAGACAGATGCCAAGCATTGTGTACTGTCCTGCATTTTCTTTTGGCTTTTAACTTTCACTGAATAAAGCATTTGCTGCCTACTGAAAGGCCTTTCAGCTTTGGGGCTGCCTTGAAAAGAGCACCACACAAAGGCTGTCCCTTTTCGGGGTAGATAAGTTGTTTATATTCTTTGTTTTCTGCTTTTTTTCCCTTTCTAGGTTGCTACGTTTATTCTTCAGAAAATCCTCCTGGATGACACAGGGCTGGCATACATCTGTCAGACTTATGAGCGGTTTTCCCATGTTGCCATGATACTGGTAAGATAATTTGGTTTTAAAGGGGTTTTTTTGCATTTAAAAAGGACAAAATTATACTGTAGCAGCCAGCTTCTTCAACAGCTACTTTACTACTGTCTGGCTGGAGCATAGGATGAGGGAGGCAAATCATTCTTGGACTAATTGCTTGTGACACTGTAGCTCTCTGCTTCCATGTTTCCTCTGAATATCTCTATTTTGCATATCAAGAGAACACATACTGAGTCCTCAGTAAACCTCTCCAGAAAGGGAAAAGAGTTTTCAGAGTGGAATGTGAATTGATTTAATTTTGTGTAAGAATGATCACACAGTTCAGATCATGAATCCATGTCCCATCTCTGTCCTCACAACAGGCTGAAAGAGCAGCAGGTTGAGTGAAGGAGTGGGAGCAGGGCAAGTGTATGATACTTGTTCTCATAGCAGTCTCACAGCTGTCAGCTACTTTGAGCTTTGGATTTCTGCGGCCAGTTGTGGGTTTTCTGTGCTGTAAACCCCAGTGTTCCTATCCTTGAACCCACAGAAACATTCTGCATCCACAGTGTCTTTGACCAAGGAGTTTGACAGGTTTCCTGTTTGCTGCCTGGAATGCCACCCTCCTTTTTTTCCTTTTTGAATCTGGCTCCTACCGGCTGCTGCATGTGCTCTCATTTTTGTGTTGGAGCACAGAGAGAGCAGACAACTTCTGTCCATTCTCTGTTTCCTGTAATGGACAAGTTTGGGTACTCATAATTTTTTCATCCCAGGAGTAATATCCCCAGCTTGAGCTTTATCTCTGAGCTCACCAAGGGAAACATGCTTGCCCTGAAATAGTTATTGCCATGCTTCTGCATGCACTTGATTGCTTTTTAAAGAGCAGTCTCAGGAGAAGAAAATGCAGCAGTAAGTTAAGCACTTAGCAATCCTGGTTCTCTGACTAAATGCTGTTCTCTCATTAGGAATATTTATTTGTCTGTTTTTGCAAATGTAAAGAAAATGTTACCTCCTAATTCACCCACAAACAGGAAAATATGAATGATTGTGAGCTGACGTTCATAATGTTCAATGTGATGCGATTTTTGCATTCAAGAAAAAAATCAGCTTCGATGGAAGTACATCTGGCTCAGTGGCAAAGTGAAGGATATAATTAGAAACCCTGGAATAGGGGAAGGAAGGAGACGATACCATTCCCAGACATGAATTGTTCCTTAAACACAGAAGGATGTGGGTGTGTAAAGCAGTGTTAGCATGGAAGAAGTCCTAGCTGTGGTATAGTCCCATCATTGGGTGAAGCACTGACAGGATCAATATTCCATAGTGCTTTCAAAAATCAGTTTAGTGTACCTCCTGTTTCATGAGAGTTGGTGTACTTCCGTGTCTGCCGGTAACTGAGTAAGATTTTACACAAGTATCAGATGCTTTTAAAAGAGGAAGTTAGTATTTCCCATCCAGGAGCTTTTGGAGGAGCTTGTGGTTCTTTATTTCGAAGAAATATTGGTATCCTGGGGAATTGCTGGGAACAGGAAGCTTGCAAAAGGGCAGATGAGAGGGACCTGCTAATTGCTAAGTGCCTGGATATCCAAATACAGGTGACTTTGGCTAATGAGGAAAATTATTAGCTTTAGCCAAGGTAGTTTACAGGAAAAAACCCAACTTGTTGGGCAGATTTGATTGACTCCTAAAGTCAATACAAGCGAGCAGTCTGTTAAATTCCTTCAGAGCAGGCATGTGAAGGCAGCTGCACTGTTTGCTTGGCTGGGCATGTTCAAAGGTGCAGCCATGTGCAAAGTCCTACTTAGTGTGAGGATTGGAAGCTGGGCCAGGGAGATCTGCCCTGCCCTTGCCTCCCTGGAACAGCTTCATGAGGGATGTAGCAGAAAGAAAATAGATCTCTTGGGTGCATGCTAAGACCAGATGTGGATCAGATGCTACAAGTGCTGTAGGTTAGCTCAGTCCTTCGGCATGGCTTCCCAGGCTATTGCTAATGTCTTAAAAGGGTGTTGAAATGAAGGGAATGCAGATGAGATCAGGGAGTGTTGCCGAGCTTGGGAACACACCTCACGGGGTGACTCAGCCTGAGCTTATCAAAGTGTTTGGGATGTTTCCACGAGTGGTAGAAACCCCAGGTTCTCTTTAATCTCACAAAGGGCTGGACCACTAAGCAGTCCTGGGAAGGAAAAACCAAACAGAGATGAGACAAGCTTTCCCCAAGCTGCTGGGAGAACCCTTTCCAAGTCATGCCTTCTTCTCAAAGGCATCTTGGCAAGCAGTGCCAGGCTCTGTGTAGGGGTATCCAGAGGAAAGGTAATGGGCTGTGCTGCATGGGAAGCCAGAGTGAGTGATCTAACAGCCTTTCCAGTCTCTGCTGATCGTGAAGCTGTTCTTATAAAGACTTTAACTGGTGGCACTGGCCTCTGTCAAACAGGGTAAAATGGTCCTGCAGCTCTCCAAGGAGCCATCAGCACGGCTGCTGAAACATGTTGTCCGCTGCTACCTTCGCCTTTCCGATAACCCCAGGTAAACATTTTAGGAGTTTGGGCAGGGGCTTCTTCTCCACTGGAAGCACAGTTCTTTTCCGCAGTGCCTTCTTGGTGGGAATCAAAGTTCCTGGTCTGCCAGCCTTAGTTCAGTGTAGAAGATGGGTGGGTTTTTTTGCTTTGATTTTTTTATTGCAAATCCCAGGACCATTTGTGGTACATGGGAGAAACAGAGACTGTTTGGGGCTTGTGCAAATTCAAGCTGTGCAGTTCACAACTGCCTGAGCTCAAATGTAGATTGAACAAGGTACAGGGGAGGGCCTGAGGTGGAAGGTATGCTATACTTCCCCTCTTCTGCATCAAATGAGCTGTTGTCAGTAGAAGCCAACAGATGAAATTCTGTTGAGAGAGTACAAACTGATCTCCTGCTGACCAGCAGCTCTGCCCAAAGCTGCCAGGTGTGCAGCTTTGTTGCCTTGGCATCTCCTGGCATTCATCACTTGACTGACAGGTGTCAGAGTGCAGGGGCTGGCTTTGTGGGGTTTAGCATGAGGAGTGGGAGCCGCATTAGCTGGCTGAGTGCCACATGCTGCAGTGCTGCTGCTCAGTGCTGTCCGCGGCTGCTTCTGCCAGGGAGACCTCCAGGCAAAGGAACACTGTTCCCAGTGGGGTTTGCTCCCCCCTTGCCCCTGTGAGTTTATTTGTTGGGCCCCGTTTCTTGTCTCTTGATGTAGGGCACGTGAAGCTCTCAGGCAGTGCCTTCCTGACCAGCTGAAGGACACCACCTTCGCCCAGGTCCTGAAGGATGACACCACCACAAAGCGCTGGCTGGCTCAGCTCGTCAAGAACCTGCAAGAGGGTCAAGTCACTGACCCACGGGGCATCCCTCTTCCTCCGCAATGACTGCTGGGGGAGGTGGGGAACTGGGGAAGAAACAGCTCAGGTTTACAAAGAACCAGAAACAGGTGACCTCTTCTGCAACAAACTGGGCTCGCCAGCTGGCTGCCAGCCTGTCGGACCATCCCACCCAGCCAAAGGGCTGCTCTGTAGCAGCACGCCTCCAGGGATCCCAACACCAGCAAATGCTGATACTACAGCTTAAAAAAAAACAAAAACAAAAAAGGTCAATAAATACCATCTGTAGAGATCCCAGTCTCTCTGGGAGGCTTGGGTGGCATCCCTGCCCCCACCTCCAGGCAGGGGGTAGTGCAGATGTCTCCTCTTCCAGCAAGCTCAGCCTCCGCCCGAGCGGTGCACAACTCCGGGTGTGCACGCCACATCCCTCCAATTCCTTGTCACTTCTTGTTTACACGTCTTGTTTAGATGCGTGAACTGAATAAAAGCTGATCCAGTTGTTTTATCCCCTCTTAATACTACTACTCAGCTGCAGATAGCCCCGGGACAGCTTTTTTCCCTACCAGCACGTCCTTGCTCCTGGCTCTGCATCCAGCTGGCGCAGTGAGCTTCTTTCTTCCTTTCCTTTGGCGCAGAGGCAGTGGCTGGAGCAGGGCTACTGCATGCTTGCCTCAAGAGGAGGGGTGGATTACATGCAATGAATCCATGCATCATAAGCTTGCTTCCCAGGACTCTGGGGAAGGAGAAGACATCAGGACTGTGGCTCTTGTGCTGTAAATAGTGCACTTCCGCAGCTGACCAGCGGCCGGGGGCTGATGTGTACTGGCCTCTCATCTAGTCCTGGGAGGCCTGACGGCTGGCTCGGCAAATGGAGCTCAGCGTGACGGCACCTGCCTTGAGGTGGTGGGCAGGCCACCGATTGATGATCCCCTGCTGCCTGCAGGCTCCAGGTATGCCATGTCCTGCACTGCTGCTGCCCGCCAGGCGCCCCTCAGTCCTGCCCCCTCCTCCCTTCCCTCCCCTCCTGCTCCTCTCTGCCAGTCGGGTGCATCCATTTCAGCTTTCATACCCGCCTTGGCGTCTGCCTCGGCCCCAGCACAATTAAACTGGACCAGCAGCCGCTTACCTGCCTTCCCTGTGCCAAGGGGTTAATGCAGCCACAGAGGGCTCTCAGAAGCAGCCCCAGAGCTCCCAGGCTATGCTGCAGCAGAGCCTCCTCTGCCTGCTCTTGGCTGCAGGCAAGCCTGGGCAGCTACTTAATTTCTCCCTCCTCCTCGAGTTGCCCATTTTGCTGATCATCTGCAGTGTCGTGCCAACAGTGTCTTAAATCCCATCGTTTCCCTTCTTTCCTCCTCTGGAAGCCTTGCATAACAAGGGCACGGCCTCTTCCTTGCCCTCGGGTTCCTGTTTTATAACCATTGCCTTCTTTTCTCTCCTTTTCACCTTGACCTTGACAGAGTGTTAAAATGCTTCTGTTTGATTTTTGTTTGTTTGTTTGTTTTTTTAAGTTCAGATTAATAAATAGTAAAACCCCAACCAGCACAGATTGCTCCTGGTCTGGTCTCTCAGGGAGGGCAAGTGATGAGCAGGGATTTATTGCAGGTGGGAGGAAGAGGGGGGATGTGCCAGCTGGGGGGTGTGAGTTGGGAAGAGGGACCTTTCCCAGTGAGAGCTGACTACATCCCCGTAGCACCCCATCTCTCTTGGAGCAGGTAATGTGGAGGGTTGTAGGGAGGGGATGCTGTTTAGTTCTGCAGGAGGCCAGTGAAACTGCCAGGGAGAGAGCACTCGCTCCTTCCTGCACCGTGTTTGCAAGTGCTACTACTTACCCAGGGTCCGCGACTGTTGCAGCACTGCCTACCCGAAAGTTTAGTCTCTGCCCTGCACCCCTTGCCTTCAACTCTTCCCGCCCCGTCCCGCAGCTGCCCCAGCTTGTATCCCCATGGGGATTTTTGCCCCGGGATGCTCAGACTACGCCTAGCTGTTTGAGTCCTGCATCCCTCCCAGCAGGAGGGTTCCGGGAGCGCCCGGGGACCATCGTGTCCTGGAAAGGACAGGGACAGCGTGAGGGCGCGCCGTGGAGGGGGAGATCGGGCTATGCTGGGTGCAAGAGGGTCTGGGAACGGACAGCCTGTGTCGGAGGATGGGAATGGAGGCTCGACCTCAGACGGCGGGCACTGCAGGGTGCTCCCGCCCCTGCCGGCCACGCTATTGCCTTCTTTACCCGCTGCCCCCCCCCTCCGTCCGCCTCGGGAGCGGTATGACCTTAATCCGAAGCGACCTTGAGAGGCGGCGGCTGCGGGGCGTGCGGGGGCTGGGGGCGTCCCGCGGGGGCGGGGGGCCGGGAGCGGACTCACCGCCCAGGCTCTGCCAAGGGGCGGGCAGCCCGGGCAGCCCCGGCACCGTGCGGCCACCGGCGGTGAAGCACCGGCGGAGCGGAGCGGCGCGGCACTGGAGAGCGGGTACGGGGTTGGGCGCCCGGTCCTCCGTGTGGGAGTCCTGCGGAGGGAGGGGACTCTGGGTAGGGGCTGCGACCCCCAGACTCTGGGACCCCCTGGCTCGGGCTGCGCTGCCCCAGAAACGGCTGCACGCTTGAGGTGGCGCGGGGTGGCAGGAGAAGCGCGAGCGGTTTTGTTTGTTTGTTTGTTTGCTTTAAAGTGTCATTTGTCCCCCTGAGTCCTGAATCCCCTGGGGTTTGCTGCCCCACCCCAGAGACCCTGGTCAATCCCCCCTCTCGCCTCCCACCCCCTCTGACCCGTCAGCTGCCGGCTGGTCCCTCTGCGTCGGTCAGACTCCGTGCCTCTGTGCTGTGGCGCGTCCTGGAGCGGGTGGGCTGAGCAAAGCCTCGGAACACGGGCAGTCTGTGGGCACACTGGGGCAGCAAGGTGTGGGGGGTGCCCAAAGCGAGAGGGCATTCCTCCCTGCTCTTGCACAGCCAGTCCTATGGTGGCCAGGGGGACAATTTAATTCTGCCAGGGGGCTCCGCACTGGAGTGGCGGGGGGAGCACTCAGACCCACTGTTCCTCCAGCTCCGCTAGGGCCTGTCACCAGCAGGAGAAAAGCTGCGGTGGCTCAGCGGGTGCTGGGGTAGCTGGGGCTGTTTCTGGCAGCAGGCAGCTGCCCTGCAGGAAACTCTCGGGTTGGGTTTCTCCGTACCCTGGCTCCCGTCCCGCTTGGCTTGATAGCATAACTCAGACTGGGGCAAGGGGGCCTGCATGAGGCCAGGCTATGCTGGGCTTGGGGCATCCCTCACACAATGGGAGAGAGCAGAACAGTTGTGTCCTTGCATCCACATTCCTTATGCTAGAAGGATTCATCACTTCTTTGCTGCACATGTGGGGAAGGCACTGCTCCCTGATTGGGACTGGGCATGCTTACACTGTGCCAGGAGCCTGGAAGGGATAAGAGGATAAAAGCAGTTTATCTCCAAACTCTCTGCATGGTTATGGGCCTGAGGGCTGCAAGCTGCTCTCTTGCACGCTGCCACCTTGCAGACATGCATGTGCAAAGAGGACAGACGTGGTGGCACCGAGCCCATCTCTGTTCAAGTCCAGCAGCTCTCCCTGCTTCTCCAGCCTCAGTGTCTCTCCCTCCACCCCAGCTTCCCCAAAACATACCCCTCTCCCTCACCTGTTGCAGCACAGAGGCTGCAGAGCAGGTAGGCAGCTGGAGCTGAGGCCCTACAAAGGTGGCTGTGCTGGGCTGGGTGCTACCAGGAGACAGGAGGGTGCAGGCAGATGGGTGACCGAGGTTGTCCCCCCCGGTTCCCTACAGGCCATGGGGTGCAGAGGCTGAGAGCATGGTGGGGTAGGGCTGGGTGTGGGGCACTCCTGGAGCTGTGCTAGCCAGCGTCAGGGCACCTATTCTGCAGGGCACAAGAGGAGCATGATGCCAGCCCCCCATCTGTGGGTGCAGGCACTCCAAGTCCTGGGTCAGTGCCCCCTGGCACATCGGATGGGGGGAATGTGGGCACTGCAGCAAGTCCTTGCCGTCTAAGCCCTTCCAGAAAGGCCAGTGCTGGGCACACACAGCCCCAGCACTGGGCACTGCTGGGAGGCAGCTGGGATGGCACCCCAGCTGCTTCATGTCTCCAGCAACATCTGAGGTCCCCAAGAGTGTGGACAGACAGTCCCCATGTGCCATGGTGACAGCCAAACTGCCACTGCCAGCCCCACGGCTAATGTGTCCCCCAGGAGTGGGGCCTCGGCCCTGGCCAGCACTGTGCTGGGGATTTGCTCTGCTGTCCCCACACTGATCAGGGGATGGCTGCTATCTGGCCCCGGAGCCCACAAGGATCTGGCAGCTGGGCTTGGCAGCTGCCTGCAGACTGACGGCACCAGCTATTCCCAGCCCTACACCGCTGGTGCCTGTGCTGAGTCAGGAGCCTGGGCCACGGCTGCCACCCCTGCACCCTTGCACAGAGCCCTTGCCCTCAGGGACCCATGGGTCCCCTCTTGCACCCAAATCCCAGCTCACTAGCTGCAGCATCCACTCCTCGAGGGCCCAACTCCAGCACCTGGGTGTCAGGCACATCCAGCAATTTGTCAGTCTAATTAAAGTATCAACAGCTTAATCAAAGCCTTATTGTCCCACGGTATTTATAGTTCCACTCACTGCAGTGTGCTCCCTGTACAGCTGTGGGTGCAGTCACAGCCCAGGGTGCTGGTGTTCATGGGGAGTAGAGGCTGCAGGAGCTGAGGGTCATTCCTCTGTGCCCCCTTCCTTGCTATTACAGCTGTGCCTCTCCCTTACTTTCAAATCTGCTGGTTGGGGTCATGTCCTAGGTGGTGGGGGCTGTTCTTGGGCACCCCTAGAGCAGTTTTTCCTGGCTCTAGGGGCCACTTCTTCCCTGGGAGCAGTGATCTGGGAGCAGTAGGGCTCTGGTACCTGCTGGGCTGTGGAGCGTCAGCTCTCACAAGTTTTTCTGTTTTCCACCAACACCTTTTGAGCTCCGGCTTCCCGGTAACAGAGATTAATATTTCATGAGTATGGCGGGGTGAACCCGACACTTAAGGAAGGCAATGACCCAGCAGGAGACAGGTGCAGGTGCGCTCACACACGGGCAGGGGCAACACCCACCTTGCACACATATGGGTACGGCTGGACCCCACTCGGCGGGACCTGGGCACAGTGTGGAGCACTGGCCCTGCTCCCCCCAGCCACCTTCTCTCTTCCCTCCTCAGCAGCTGTCAGCGTGGAGAAGGCAGAGCCATGGCATCGCTGCTGTGCAACGCCCGTGAGTGCTGCGGTGGAGATGAGGTGCAGGGCAGGGCATTGGGCCATCCATACTTATGCCAGGGCAAATCTGCCCTCTGCGTTGAGCATACCTTGCTATGCGCAGGAGCACACCTACCCCACCATGGCCATTGGGATTTGGGCTTGGCAATGCCAAGGGTGGATGGGAAAGATTACTGGGGAACTACCTTCTGCCCATCTTGTAGTGAAAGGAGTTTGTTTGGGGTCCACTCCTCCTCCCTCACAGATTGAGGGACCACGTGGGGTTCC